TTCCAGTTTGGATTTCTGAGCCATGAACTAGATCAGGGAGCTGATCCAGCTTAGAAGGGAAGCGTCAAAGATATTTTTCTTTGAGCTGACTGAGTTCTTTATCTGGCCCACAGGCATCCGTGGGGTTACAGAACTAAGGGGATAAGAGGGGAAGGGGCCATGCAGTGGTTTATGGCTTGGTGGGGAAACCTTAAACCCCTACTGTTGCCAAGACAATGCATTGTCAATCTATGGCCTCACACATTCCCTGGCATAGAAACACAGAGGATGCAAAGTGCCTTAGCTCTGTTCTGCTCTGCAGCTGTGGGGATGTTTTTGGAGTGAGTGTAGGCATTCCAAACTCGTGCTAGCCTTGGTACCATTCACAATGAAGCCACAGTGATGTGGGGCTTTGGCAGGACGTGCACCTCCCTTCCCCCTCCAGGATTCTAGGTATTTACTTAGGCAGGCAGGTCTGAGCTGCTGTGGCTTCACTGCTCTTTTAGCAGGATTAGCTGGAGCACAGCTAGCTTGGAATCTTCTCTGCAGGCTGCTGTTAAGCCTCTCAAGCAGCTATGGATGTTGTGCTGCTGTGAAAGTATGACACGTGCATTTGAACCATTGTGTGGCCTTGGATTAGATGCAGATAATCTTTCTTTTTATTTAGAAGTTAATTTCTTTTACCCTTCCTGCTTTCAAATTAGATCTGTGATTTCATATTTCCAAAGAATGAATGTGGCACCCAGCAGGAAGGGTGTAGGCAACAGGACAAGGGAACAGTGTTGCTGTGCTCTCTCTGAGTGCCAGGGAATTTGAGTAGCTGTAAATTTGTTAGATTCTTCCTTAGCCCTCAGCCAGGTGAAATTTGAGGAAGTGAGGGAGAAAAGCAGTTTAGAAGAGGGGAGGCACAACAGCATAAAGAAAAGGAATATTATGTTTGAGAAAACCAAAAGAAATTGAAAAGTGGACAGAGATGAGAAAGGAGGTGAGAGGATGGAAGCAGTAACTGAGGAGGGAGATGGTGGAAGACATTTACAAAAGCTGGAGCAAAACAAGGCCAGGGAGGCCACTGCTGTAAGAACTAAGGGTGGAAATAAATGCTTGAGGATTTTAGCAGAATGTGTGGATGGATGATGAGCCTTTGTACCCCCAGGTAGTTCAGTGCACCTGAAGATCTGCTGGTGCAGGAGAGCAGTTCTGTAAGAGAATGTCCAAGGGCCAGTAGTAGAAATAGTTCCTCTTGTGTGCCAAGAGGGCTCATTTCTGAGAGTCACAGCTGCTGCTCTTCTCAGTGGGATGGGATCTCTTACAGGTTACCCAAAGAGGGGGAGAAAAGGGTGAGATGAGAAGCATGACACACGTGGAGCAGCGTCCTTGGCATGTCTCTCTGGTGCTCTCTCAGTACAGCATGTTTGAGCCCACCATCCTTGTTTGCCTGCCCTTTTCCTTAGTTGTCCCTTGCCAGCAGTTGTCCGCTGTTGCTCGGTCTCATCTCTCTCTGGCCTTGGTGGCTCAGTTACTGATGGTTACTCTGAGACTGGCTGGCCCTACAAGCAGGATAAGAACCCTCTTAATGCTCACCTTCTCCGAGACACTGGCTAAGAAACCAAATGCTCTTGCTTGAGCCCATCTGCTGTCTCCACTTGCCATCTCCAGTGGCAGCACCTAGAGCAGCTGGAGGTGTCAGAGCAGGTGAGCCTCGTCTCTGATCTCTTTGCTTTTCTCTCCCAGGTGGAGCCTGAGCAGCCTGTGAGCATTGTGCTGGGCTGAGGAGCTCTCAATAACCTAGTTTCCCTAGCAACAGTGGGCTCTTTAATCACAGAGATACAAGGCTACCTCTGTTCCTGGTGCTAAGGCTTGTGTAGTGTATCTGGCTGTGGCAATATTTTGCTTCTGTTGGAAAAAATGGCAGAATAAAAGCGAGAAGGTCTTTCTGCCTTTGTGATAATTAAGATCTCCATAGGTGGATTTCAGTGCTGCGTGCAGCAATAATAGAAAGAGGAGGGATTATAGCTACTTCTAAGCTTTTTAATGTGTGAAGGATCCCTGGAGGATACAGAAATAAAGTTTTAAATTCTGTGTGGAGCTTTATGCATAGATTTCATGGCAGTCTGTGACACTGATAGATTCATTCCTTGTTGAGATGTGTTATTTTCATTTTTATGGATAGGGAGATGAAGTGATTCAAAGGTAGGCTGAATCTTGTTGCAAATCTGGCAATAAGTCTCCTCTTCTGAGCTCACGTCCTCCACCTGCCCTTTCCTTCTGTTTCAGGTAAAGGTGTCCCTGTGCAGTAGGAAACGCAACATGTAAGGGAAGGTAGAAGTGTGAAGCTGTTTTTTAGCAGGAGAAAGTGAGGAAAGTGGAAATACTGTGATTCACTGCAAGCCTTTCTGCTAATGTATTTTAGTCTGCATTTACTCCCCCATTAACAAAAGTGGAGCAAACTATAAATTTTTCAAGTGAGCATTGGGAGTGAAAGAAATATATTCCTGCCTTAATTTCTGTACAGAGACTTTGTCTTGTTACTGCATGTGTGCAGGAGAAACTGGTTTGGATAAGAATAGTTTGAAGAAACTTCTAAAGGAAAAAAGAACTCTTCCTTGAGTTGGCATGAAGCCTACATAAGTGCCCAGTACTGATGTTCCTTCTTGGATAATGCCAGTGTTAAATTGTCAGTAATGTCTCACAGGCTTGTTGGGTTAGAAAGTTGCACAAGGGACACGTGAGTGAAAACAGGTATCTGTGCTCTTCCACTGAAGTGATGTGGTGTTCAGATTTTGTTCTTTTCTTTCTGGTGTGGGGTCTTGTTTGTTTGGGGTTTTCATTATTATTATTTTAATATGGCATAAATAGTGCAGAGATGAAAGGAGACACTCATCTGCCTTCCTACTTATTTTGGTCTCTGGAGTCAAAACAGTCCCTTAACCTTCTGGCTAAACAGAAGACCATCCACCTGTGTGTGAGGAAGGTGTTTTTCCTTTTTGGTATTTCCTTGCCTACTTGGTTGTGCAAGGTGGGGGCTAATGCAGTCTCCTGTTCTGCATCCTTTTAGCCAAAGAACTTTTGAGAATTCCAGCATGAGATTTGTTTGGCTTGCAGATGTTGTAGAAACTATCCAGCTTTAGGGTATCTAAAAATCTCTTTTGTTTGTGACTGAGCATCCTTATCTCAGCATTTCAAGCCTCTGGTTACCAAATCAGCTTAAAGGGTGTCTTCTGAACGGTTGTGGAGCTCTGGAAACCTGTAACATCTAGGCCAAGGTTCCCTCCAGAGAACATGTACCTCTTCCCCCCACTCCTTGTCCCTGTGGTCTTGCACAATCTAACAAGTCTTTTGAAGAACTCTGAGAGCTTGAGCACGAGCAGGTGGGGACATGGAACTCACTGAGCTTGTTAAAATAACACTGCCATGGTCCTTCAGCAGCCTGAAGGCCTCCTATCAGGCTGTTATTTAGCTGGGTGGTATTTGGTACGAGCTGAGACAGAGGCTCGTTTCTACAGTGAGTGCATTGTTGGGTTTTCAGTATATTGTTTGCGTAAATTCCCTAGACCAGCTCTCCCTCCTGAAACAGCCACATGGATCAAGTTTTATTCTGTTCCACATAAAGTTCACATCCTTTACTGGAATGAGTCATGCTTTAACTGAGTTTACTGTGAGGGAAGAAAGTGGGCTTTAAAATGTTACTCCTCCACCCTGACTTAGTGATGTATAACAGGATTATTAGTATGCTTGGCAGCAGCTGCTTATTATTTTCACAGAACCTGAATATTTGTGAAAACAAGTAAAAAAATTGGTTCTACTTGTGTTGAAGTGTAATTATTTTTATTCTTCTTTGTAGTTTTGTCTTCCATAAAGCTCACCAGCTGCTGTAAAAGTGGATCTCGCTTATCTCCTTGGAGTTATTTTTCAGTTTTGGGAGAAGAGTGGCATTCTGTGACTTGTAGCTGAAAGAAGGGGAGGAACTCTCCCATTGTGTGGTCAGTGGCCCACACATGGCTGTTGCTGTCACACACAGGGCACTTCTGGGCACTGAGAGGTGAAGGGGTTTCACAAGCCCATGGAACTCATGGTGTGGTACCACTGTGCAGAAACCAAATTTTGGCCCTGTATATATTCTTTGTGCAGAGAGGTGCAAGACCTTTTAACCTATGGCAGAGGGAGCTACTCACTGTGTTCCTGTTACAGGTTTTTGCAGAAGCACTCTCTGTATGCAGCTACTAAAGATACCAGAACAATTTACTACTCATTTTTCCTGCAGAAGTTCATTGAGGTCTCATGCAATGATGGCTAATTTGACTCTTCATACCACCATCCTTTGTTCTTTGTGTTTTGAACGTGTTGTTGGTTTATTTGGGGGTTTTTTTTGGGGGGGGAGATGGGATGGGCAGGAGGGAGTAGAGTGGTGGTTTGTTCATTTGTTTAAGGAGTTGGGCTCAAAATTGAGGAGGAGGAGCAACCAATAGAAGAGGACCTCTTAGGATTTTGGGCTTGGCAGTAAGGTTGGTTCACTTGACATGTGAGACCTTTCTTTCCTGGTCCTCTTGTTCCTGAGTGTCCTGGAGAGAGTTACATTTCTCCCCTGAGCTATGTATTGTCTGTGCTTTCTAAATTGGCAGGGGCATCATCTGTTCATGTTCTACAGAAAAAGCGGAGTCTGTTGTCACAACCTCTGCATTCCTCAACCCAGACTGCACAGCTTTTATGGAGCCTGCAAAAGGATTTATTTTGATGCCAATGCTTTTGAAGGAAAATGTGAGGGAAAGAGCTGTAATTAAGAGACAACTAGTGTTAGAAAGGACTTTACCTTTTAGGACTTAGAATGAGTGAAATAAACTTTTGGTGACAACATAAGTTTAGTTAAATTTACGCCTCTACTGTATTTAACTATTTACGCCTCTGTTTAACTATCAGCGACTCTGGGTTTACTGGTGAGTGCTGTGGCAGCTGGGAGGCAGTGCCTGGTGGAGCAGGCTGTCTCCTGGAGTGTGAGCAGACAGGTTTCTCTGTGTGTTTTGCAGATGCCCCGTTCGGGGGGACACCGCCCGGCTACGCGTACGATGCCGACCGCGCCGAGGAGCAGAGGAGACACCATGACATGATGCCCTACATCGATGACTCGCCGTCCTCCTCACCACACCTCAGCTCCAAGAGTCGGGGCAGCCGAGACACTCTGTCCTCAGGGTCTCTGGAATCTACAAAATCAGTGAGTCCTTTCCTTTTCCTCTGTGAATTTTAGTGGAGAGAATTGGTGATAGCTGCAGTTGAGAGGGTCCCTAAATAACAAGTATTTTGGACAGGAGACTGCGGAACAAAACGTGTTCATACATCTCTGCGTGTGGGTTGTCATTGCCTTTCACAAGGAAAATAAAAGGTATTTTCAGATAGATTGAAGGTTTTGATAAAGCATCTAGAATACAAGAGCTATTCCCTTCACCCTGTGAAAGTGGAATAAGGGGAATTAAAACTGCCAGCTCTGAAATGGTGACTTTGGGTGGGGGAGACCCACTGCTTGTGGTGGATTTGACTATTCACTAAATAGCTGCCTATGTAATGGTAGATAAAAGGTGCAGAAGGGACTGCCTAACCTGACCTCTGGTTTAATGTGGCCCTTCAGACTACCTTGCTTTATTTTTGTTTCAGGTTCAGTAGCGTGGCTATAGCTTGGAACTTACAGAACAATTCTATTTTTGTTCTTACAATGGTCTTGGTAGTGAGTCTGCAGTATGCCTTGGTAAATAACTATTGACTTTGCTGTCTTCACAGTCAAAAATATCTTAGTTTCAGCTTGAATTAGTCTCTAACTTTCAGCCTTTGTTTCTGTTTATCCTTTTGCAATAGACTGAGAGCACTTGAATCCCAAGTTGCTGTTCCCTTGAATATCTTTGTCATTTGCAGACTTTGGGTTACCTCAAGTCATTCATAAAAATGCTTAATAGCACCAAGCCAACTGTCACTGCCTTCCTACTGTGTTTCTGAGAAAGTCTGGCCAACAACCTTGAATTTCCACATTGTGAATAACACTTGGAAATCTGTCATCTAAGTAGTTTAACTTATCTGTTGCTTTAGATTGTTCTGTCCTATTAATTAAGATGTCATGGAAGAAAAGGATGGATATTTTACAGGTATCAGCGTACATGTAAATCAACACCATCACTTTTATCAGTTTTATTTATCTTGCCTCAAAAGTCAAGAGTCTGACAAGTTCCACAAGCCATTAGTGCCCAGTGTTCATTACACACATCCTTCTACTCCTCTTTATTGGTTACTACCACATCATATGCCTTTTCCAGGATGAATTCCAGATTAAGAATCCTTCTTGAGACAGTGTTTTTGTTCTTCTTTCTCATTTATAAAAATGCATTGTCAAGATCTCTCAAAGCAGTATCAAGCAGATACATTGTTGATGTTTGCTTAGTTTTACTTGACTGTAAAGTGTGGAATCTAGTTAGCTGCTTATGCCTTAGTCTATTAATTTTGAGATGCTTTTTTATCTCTCAAGATGAGAATTCTTGTGATATGTAAGAGGCTTTTGAGTGAAGAAATTATCATTAGTAAATGCAAAAAGCTCCAAGAACATTTTAATATTGGCTTGAGATTTCCAGGTTACGTTTCTCAGGATGAGGGAAAAACGCTATGTGACTACACATGGCTGAGAGTTATCTTCAAAGAACCAGTTGTCACAGTGCCTGTGACTGGAGGCCTGGAAGAAACACTGCCTAATATTTAATCTTGTTCTTTATTTGTTTGAGTATTGCCTCATAAGCAGTTACCAGCAGTTAATTTCAAAGTTCCTTTAATAATGCTAGAAGGCCTGCCTTTTCAAAAATAATTTTGAACATAAATGGCTGCTTTCTTCTCTCAGACTATAAAAAGATGTTTTATGGCTTCCAAAAGAAAGAGGTGTCCTGATACAGATTGGACTTTTAATTGTGAACCTCAACTGCTTCAGTTGGTCCCATCTGTGATTATTCCACAGTTGACAATGCCACTGATCAAGGACGATCCATAATAAGAAGGAAGAGACTAATTTACATATAGTTGCAGTATTTCCCAAGCAAGTTAAACTTTCTGTCATCACGAGTTGTTAGAGGGCTTTTGCTGTAGTTCTGTTTTCAGCTGTAGTGGAAAAGACGTCAGTAACAAAATTAAGTGTCAAACACTGTGCTGAGCCAAGTGCATAAAATGTGTCAGACCAGAAATACCAGGATGCACATCCATTCTATTTTCTTTTACACTAAACTTGATTAGCAGAAAACATGTTTTGTTTACCTGTGTTTGCTTTTATAGTTGTCTCCTGCCCTTTTACTTTTTCCTTAGGTCCCTGCAGTTACTTCTGAAAATTTTAGATTATCCTTATGACCAGAGTCTGGAAATCAAGTTAACCCTATGTAAGAACACAACATGCAGTACTTACACTACTTTGACAAAATATTAAGATTGTGAAGTCATTCAGAAGTTAAGAAATTACTCCGATTATCCAGCCTTGCCTCATGCCATAGCCTTGTCTTGAATCTCAGTGAAAACTTTGAATTACTCAGTCATCCTATTTTCCCTATGGGGCTCCTGGATTGTGCAGTGAAAACAGTGAATGATACTCACTGGATTCAACATTTCACCCCTGGAGCTGTGTGTGCACCTTATTTACAGGGCACTGCAAACTCTGCTCTGACTTCTAAAGTATTCATTTCCTAGTGGCATGGCCATTAACTGCAAGTACAGTTGGAATGCTATACAGGTCTTAATTATCCTTGCAGTGTTCCTGTGAGATAAGAGGATGGTATGTTCACCAGGTAATCAAGGCAGACAGGTTATAGGAAAAACATCTACTAATTTGGGGTGCTTAATGTGAGATGTGGAATCTTCTGCAAAACCAGGTTCTGACTTTTAGTACAGGTTTTTTTCACATTTAAAGTCAAATACCTTTGTTTTCACTCATAACCAAGACTTAACAGCACTCCAGTCAGACACCCAAAAAACTGGAGAACAATGCAAACAATGATATTTTTAAACTCAGTAATTCACTTAGCATCACACAGACATAGAAGCATTTTGGTGTGATGTTCATCTGCCTTATCCATGAGACCAGCTTTCCTCTTGGATACTGGATTGTTGCTATCTGGATATTGAGGGCATCTTGCTTTGACTTATTTTATGGGCTTGCTCTGGGCTTTGTGTTTTTCTGCCAAGTATTTGACTGAGTCCTTCCATCTCCTTAGAGCAGCTCTGTCCTTTGGTTGGGTGGCACATCAGGGTTCTGTCCAGCCACCATAGGGAAAGTGCAGAGTGGCCAAAGCAGTGCCTCTTTCTAAAAGAGAAGGAAGGGATCCCTCCTTTACTACTTATAGAGGGGCATCCTGTTTCTCCCTCAGGGTGTAGGGTGACCAACTCCCAGCACCTCATGTCAGTGTTCCAGGAGCTGAGGGTTGCAATGAACTTCCATAAGGTTTGTGGTGCTCTGCACCTTCTCATATGGGGAGTGTTTTCTAATCCCTCTCATCACCTCCATCATATAAGCAGATGAAAAGATGCTGCCCCCAAACTGTGCCACTTTAGCACCTCTCGTGTGTTCACATTCCACTGGGTGTCCCAGGAGGATGACAAGTGGTGCACCAGCATCAGTTTTGTCTGTGACCCAGAAAGGGCATAAGCAAGGTGGCCATTTGTAGTGTGGATCTCAGCATCCCTTGACTTGTCATTTTTGTGGTAAGGAGACCTTAACAGGTGTTTGCATTGAGCAAGAGAGGTCGTACCCCTTCTTCTGGCTCTTCCAGGGTCTCATGCTGGGCTGCTCATGTGTGTCCTGGCATAAAGCTTTTACCAAACTTTGCCTGCTGCTCTGAAGCAAACCTACAGGGAGAGAGGGAAAAGGAGAAATAGGTTCCACTGATGCTTAAGTTGTTTGTTTATTTAACATGAGAAGTGGCTTAATTTTCCCAAACCTTTCTTTCTGTAACAGTCGAACTTTTGTGATTGAATTTTCCAGAAATTCTGGAAACCTCTCTTGGAGAATGTCAACCCAAATGTTTGCCAAATAAGACAGTGCCAGTAGCTTCAGAAGGTGTCAGACAGTGTTGGTAAAAGGTTGTGATACTTCAATCCCAGAAAGAGGGAGAATGTGTGTGTCTTTCCCCTACAGCCAGAGAGAAAGGTGGAGAAGATACCTGAACAGAGTTAGAGGAGGACAGAGGGAGAGCTTTCTACAGTATTCTTAGGACACAGGAAAGTGTTGGGACGGCTGGAAAGTTGGTGACTGACACCCTTCAGTAGAGAAGAGTGATTGCCAAGAGTTTTGGAGTGGGTAGCTTGCAGCCTGGAGGCTAAAGAGATTGGGAAGCTTAATTCATTGTGATCCTACTGCTGCTACTCATATGGGGAGAGATTGCAGCCATGAGAAGAGTAGAAATAAGAATGGCCTTTCAAGATCTGCTCACCAGCAAAGCCAGGCTCAGGGACGTGGAGGTGGGGGCAGGTGCAGGACAGCAGTGGGAAGGCAAAGCTCGTTCCACCCCCCAGGAGAGGAGTCACTTTTCAGTGCAGATGAATTTTTGCCAAAATAGATCTCTCCAATTCTTGCCCATATCACACCAAGGGAGGCAGGAGTGCTAATGCTGAGCAGCCGCCTCCTGCTGTCTGCTCTGTTTGGAGAAGAAATTGGCTGGTACTTATTGATTTCCAGGTAGAATTTCCCTTCCCTTTTCTGCTGTGCAGTCCATGGTTGGTGCAGCATTGGCAGCCATTGCTTTTCCTCGGATCAGATCCTTTTGTCCTTGCTGTCTGCCAGCTCAGCAGAGAGCAGGGCTGTGGCAGAGCAGGCTGTGGGTTTTGCTCCTAGCTTGGTCCCAAGGGGATCCAGAGAAGTTGACCTCTGAAGCTACAGCAATAAATGGGGTTACTGCTCTGCTTGTTACTACTGTTGCTAGCTTGTCCTTCTCTCTCCAGTGTTTCCAAATCCTTCTCCTTTCTTCCTCTCAGTATTTGGGTTTGTTTGTTTGTTTTGTTTTACTGTGGCTTTCTCCTCACCACCCCCAACAGATGCAGTTTTTCCTTTTTATTCTCCTATTCTTTGCTCCTTAAGGGCTCAGCCTGGATGTACAGCCCTTCCTGAGGAGAGCTGGCACACCAGTACTGATGTTATAAATAATGTTGGCTCCTCTCCCTGCTCCTTCCCCTCCCTGCATGGAGCATGATTGGCTTGATTACAGAATTTACCCTGTTTAATATCACCAAGACAATGAGACACCTCCAGCCTGTTTAGCAGAAGCTTACAAATATATTTACACTTTAAAAATGGAAATGAATAGCTTTTCTGCTTTGTAGGCTCTCAGGTTCTGTGTGAGATTCAGAGCTGTCCTTAGAGGAAGCCTCTCCTTTGAGCACATTCATTGCCCAGTGTATGAACACACTGTACCAAAGGAAGAGTTAAAGTGCCTTTTATACGCCCACTTTGAATCCCTGATCCTCTTTACAGAGCTGTGCCAGCAGCAACCTCTGCAAAATCTTGTGTGTTGTGGTTTCTAGATCTTGATCTGTGCTCTTCTAACGTTTGCAAGAAAACAATTATTGCTGTTAATTTAAACAAAAACCAGAAAACCCTGAGTTCTAAACAGAGTCAGGAAGAGCCGAATCTGTCTAATCCTTGGAGCTGGTGAATGTTGGCCTTGCAGTAATTGAGCACAACATGTGATGCCAACCTGGTTAGTAAACTAAAGTGCTTGGGCTGACAGGCTGCAAACACATTCAAAGCAGCCATGGCTCGGGGCCAGTGTGTGTGCTCTGATATCTCCAGAGCCTCCAACCGCTCGGTCTGGCTGTGGGTCAGGTCCCAAGGTTGCACTTACTATGGCTGTGACTCAATCTTTTGGTTTTTAAGTCTCTGGAATAGCAAAAAGCACCACCCAGTTGAGAAGAGAACACCAGAATTGTATAGGCATGAGGTACCTGTGACACTGCCTTTAGCCTGTTTTCCACCTCCTTTTTGGTGTCTGGTTTTTTTAAATGTAATTCATAAGGAGTGGGAGCAAGGCACTGATTCCTTGCTTGCTTGTTCAGATCTGGCTGGGTGTTGGATCCTCACAGCTCCCATGGCAGGGAGACAGGAATGCTCTGGCTGCTGCCCTGGTACAGTCTTGTAATATTTATTCTGAAACACAGGGGTGGAGAGGTAGCCAAAAGATGGAAGGGCAGTGGAGAAAGGCTAGACATGGACGCTGGCGTCAAAGAGGCAGGGATAGTCAGAACATGAAATACTAGTTGGACTTGTACAAGTGAAAAACAAGCTAACCAAGCTGGGTAGGAAGCATGGGATGGACTGCTGACCACCTGGCACTCCCTACTGAGTGGTTAGAGTTTGCCAATACAGGCTGCTCCCACTTCCTGCTGGGAACATCCCATCTGCACTGTGGTAATAGGTGTATTATCCCCTTGCTAATGTGGTCTGGTAGATGTGGTACCAGCTCCTCCTCTTAGCACAAGCAGCTCAGAGATTTCAGACTGCTCCCTTCTTGCCAGGGTGGGGAAAGGAGTCCTCAGCCTTGGCAGGTCTCCCTGTGCTGGTGAGGAGCTTGATACCTCTGCCCAGGATGTTCCCTCTGAACTGCCCTTCTGGCTGGAGTGCAGGAGCTGAGCAGGCAGGGAGCTGTTGTCACAGTGTTGTTCTTTGTTACCCTTTTGTATTAGATATGGGCAAAGCAGAAATGCCCTTGGCAAGGGGTGCATCATGTCCTGGCGTGCTGCAGGGGGAGGGTGGAAGGGCAGTCCCACAGGATCTGTGCCTGCTCACTGCTGTCTTGTTCCGGGTAAGCAGGTGAGCCTGTTCCCAATTCTGTAAGTGAGGAATGTTGTAGTACCAAAGAATAAACTTACTCCTCTTCCTCCTGATATTGGCACCAGCTCCCAGTGAATTTTTCAGTCTTGGAGTATGTTTCGTAACAAGTGTGACTTAAAAAGCACCCTGAGGCTGAAGGAGCACCAGGGCTCTTTTCCAGATGTTCTTCCTGCTCTGTGCAGCCCCAGCTGACATTGCCAGCAAAGGCTCCCTCAGCAGGACCTCTTGTCAGGGCACAGGTTCCCTGGAGCAAACACAGCAGCACCGAGGTGGTGTATTGATCCCTGGCACAGCAGGAGCAGCAGGAGATCATCTTTTCACATAGGAGGAGGCTGTATGTAAATTTGAGGTATTGCATTGGAAATCCTGTAACGTACCATGTGATTGTTGGATAAACTTCCCTGAGGGTTCCTTCAGCAACTGCTGTACCCAGAGTAAAGCAGGCAAGCCCTGCCCTGGCTGGCTGTGTCTGAGGCTGGAGTTTTGCAAACACCACACTTGGAAAAATGCTCCTATTAAAAAGGTTTAGGACAAAACCGTGGACTTTGCACAGTGCCCGTGCGGTAATGGCCAGGAAGGAAGGCCTCCAGTGTGTCCTGGGAGATGCTTGTCTCTGAAAGCACATCTCTTTTAACGGGAGGAAATTAACATTCAGGCAGAAAATGCTGCTCTGTCAGCCCAGCAAGAACTGGCTGGTAAATTAAAGCTTTTACTTGTGAAGAGGAAAACTGTTCTCAGTGCTGTAAGGAAAACTGTTGTGCCACTGTGGTGATGGGGAAGTTTGAATCATTTAAATGACTTGCCATTGTGTGCTGCTCTTTACAGATGTTACAAACAGACCCAGCTGGTTTTTAAATCCTCACCTCCTCCAAGAGAACCTGCTAAATATAATTATAGTGCTGTGTCAATATTGACCAGTTACCTCATCCTCAGCAGTGGGGACTTTGGAGCACTGTTAGTTTTCGTCAATGCTTCTTTGTGTAGCTGCACTTTTCTTTTGTAAGTGTTGTAAGAAATCTTTCGAAACCAAGAGCAATTGTGTTTCTCTTGCACCAGCACTGCTACATCCCTTCCTCTTTGGATGAAGGCAACCTTTGTTTAATGTCTTGGGGCTGTCTGTCTTGATTAGGCATGTGTACCATGCCTTAAAAAATGGTCCATGAGCTGGACATCCAGGCACTGCTGGCACAGAAACCATAAGGAATGGTCACAGTGTTGCTGGACATTTCTGTTTGAGCTGTGCAGGCAGCCACACAGGTGCTCTGGAGATGCACAGAGGCCGTTGCAGCTCATTTCACCATGTAGTTTGTCACCGGTTTTCTGCAATCTTCTCAACACGACTGCTGAATTACAAATCCTGCCTTCTTTGAGATGCCCTTTCAAGATTTTAAAGGGCACTGTGGTTCTTACTGAACATCACTAAAGGGTGGGATGCAAAGACAAGTTCTTCTTTCCGTGCGGTACCTGACGTGCGTGTAAATGTTACGCGTTTCCTTAGAGCAGCTTCTGTCTGCCACTTTTATTGAAGAGGTGATGGTGGTATTTGACACCTCACAACATTTTTATAAAGTAGTTGCTGGAAGTCTTTTAGGCTAGAAAATAGCTTGAGAAATTTAATGAAAGCGTTCAGGAATCAGGATGGTTATTGATGAGACTGAATCCAGAAATATCTGGGAGCGTGAGGATCTGTTTCTTTCCTCGGGTGGTGCGTAGGCTCAGAGTCACACTCAGGATGTGATAGTTTTCCTGCAAGCTTTACCTATAGCCCAGATGCCTTCTGTCCATCATGAACCTCATCTATGCATCTACAGGGTTCAAGCACAGGACCCTAAACTAAGTGGAGCCTTTTTTTTGGCAGCTCTAGGGCTTTATGTTCAGTCAATAGAGTGGAGCATCCTGCTGTGTTTCCTGATCCTCCCACTGCTGAAATCAAAAGCTGAAGATTCCTCTGGATATTAAGAGGAGTAGGATGGAGCCACAAACAACCTACCCAAAGACCTTGAAAAGTACCCTTTCAGAGCCAACTACTGACTCTATTCTTAGAGACATTTAATAACATAAAAAGCTTGCAGGAATTGTAACAAGCTATTTCTGTGAATGACAGAAATAAAAAGAACTGGAAATAAGAATCTGTGAAAGGGGGATGTTTCTCCTTATTTTTAACCTTCATTGCTTGGCCACATTTTTTTGGAAACACTCGGTTTCACTTTATCAGGTTAAACACTTTTTCATATAACAATTTTGAGAGGAAGCATAATTAAAATTCAACAGAGGATGACTGCTTCTCTTAACACTTCATGCTAGTCTTCCTCATTTGCCCATGAATGTATTTATGTTTGGGGTTTTTTTCTTCTTTTTCTTCAGTTGTTTTGGTTAAGAACTCCTTCATGGAATCCCAATAAGAAAATCAGCATGTGCGTTCCAAGCAGTGCTGACTATTCCATCCTCTCACTAAAAATAGACATTGTTCAAGCTGGCATTGAAAAATAATTTAGTGAATATTAGAGAGTGTGAGAAGGAACAGCCATCTGGGAGCCGTGGCAGGCTGGGGCTGCACTGTGTGTGTGCACACCTGTGGAGATGCAGGGGCAGAGCTCCTTCTGCACGGAGAAACGTGGATTTTGAGAGCTCTTGTGGGAGGGGGGAGGGAATGGCACACAACAAGGCTCCTGAGATTTGTTTAGGAGGATAAATTCTGAGTTTTTAAGTTCTGTGTTTTGAATTTTGTGAAGAGGCCTGGGCACCTAATTGAGGCACTGAAGTTGGATGACTAAAGCTAACAGCTGTAAATAATCTAAGTGACATCAGTTGCTGGTAAATAAAAATTTCTTTAATGTTTTATGTTTCCATGTTGCTAGAAACAGGGTTCTGAGCACAGGTGGGTTTTTTGTTTGGTTGGTATTTTTTTAGTCTGAAAGTAAACAAATAACCCAAGTATGCTCTGGTCAACTGAATGGTATCTTTTACTCCATCTTTATTCTTGGGTTTTTTTCTTTCTCCCCCCCCGCCCCCAGTCTCTTTTTAATACTTTTTTTCTTTTTTCTCTTTACCAACTTCTTTGTAGAGCGAGCCAGACCTGGAGAAAGGCCTGGAGATGAGAAAATGGGTCCTATCAGGAATCCTAGCCAGTGAGGAAACCTACCTGAGCCACCTGGAGGCCCTGCTGCTGGTAAGAACTGGGGCCAGATGCCAGTTTGAACACTAGTACTTGAATTTTCACTGCTGCTTCCATCCAGAGTTCCTAGAACTTCACATACACATGAGTTACAGGTGTGACTGTTCCTCCTCTTCTCCAGTAGAGAAAGAGAGGATTAGAGGAGGGACTGCATATGGCAGAACCAGGGAGTTAGGGAGTTATTAATGTGTTAGTACCCAGGAGCTCTGTCTTTAAGTGTCCTGTGCTAATTATTAGACACGTTGCTGTACAGTTGGACAGAGATTAAGGAAATGAAGTGTAAAGGGATTTTAATTGCATCATTAATACCCTGGGAAAATCCACCTACTGGGGTGGCTGATCCCCATGAGAGAACTTGTTCATGTCTAGTTTTCAGGAGCTGTGTGAATGCAAATATCACTTATTAATAGGATGAAAAATAAATCTATAGAGGGATGTGTTGCAATGTGAGAAGGGTGAATGTACATGATTTGCATGATAATGATTTCCATTTTTCCTCATTTCAGCCCATGAAGCCTTTGAAAGCTGCTGCCACCACCTCTCAGCCTGTGCTGACCAGTCAGCAGATTGAGACAATATTCTTCAAAGTGCCTGAGCTCTATGAGATCCACAAAGAGTTCTACGATGGGCTCTTTCCCCGAGTGCAGCAGTGGAGTCACCAGCAACGTGTGGGGGACCTCTTCCAAAAGCTGGTGAGTCAGCTGCCATCACCAGAGTTTCTGGTACCTCTGATCCAGCTCACAGGAGCTGGTGGGTTCCCTCTGGTGACTGTGCACAGACTGAAGGGATCAAAGCCCATGGCTGGATTAGAGGAAAGGCTTCTCACTTTGCCACTGCAGTGAAGGGCCTCCAGCAAAATGGCTCTTTCATTGTCTTTAATTAAAGACTCCATCAAGCTGTGGTGCTAAAATAAATACAGTTTCACAGAAATATTGGATCTCCAGAGTCTCTGCAGCATCATCAAAGCATTTGCTTTAGAGGAAGATGGGAGAATGGCAGTATTACAAAGTGAACTTTCTAACACTGACAGTGAACTGTTTCTCATTACTGTTGAACTCCCTCACATACTTCCTTCTCTCAGTGGTGCTTTGCTCTACCTTGTGCTGATTTGTGGTCATCACCTTTGACTTTGCTTCTCTGCCATCATCCTGGCCTTTGCATTCCCCTTGCTGTTATGCTGATGCAGTCAACCTGCAGCTGAGAATCCTCCAAGCAACCTCAACAAAATTCTCTGAGTGCGGAACAGGACAAAGACATATACAGCATATTCCTGAGGCTGAATTAAAATTGCTGGGTTTCTGAGCCAGATGACAAATTGTTTGCATTCTAGGAGATTTCTTTGGCCCCTTTAGCCTCTCCCCTAGCATGTGCAGAGAGCAAAGGATTAAAGGAGCTGTTTTTTCCTTTTTAGAAAAGAAAAAGAATCTCTGCATTCCGGAGGTGCCTCTGATTCTCAGGGTAGGAGTGACATTCCAGTGAGGGGTTTATTGGCTGGGGAGTGTATTTTCCAGGGTCAATCAATTGTTAGCAGCTGTGTAGCCCACCATCAGCCCCATCCCCTGTGGAGCAGGGGGGAGCTGGCCCTGGAAGATGATGTTTTCTGTGCATGCCAGCAACTCAAGATCAAAATAAGGGAATCTGCTTTTCACTGCCAACATGTTTTAGCCAGGAGGGGTCAAGTTGGTGCCTGGGTAAGTAGTTCATGGTATGCAATTTGAGCAGCTGGTTTAAGAAGACAAACCCAGCTGCTGCTGGTTGCTGAAGCAGAGATACAAAGGCTGCTTGAAGTGGCAGCCTCACAGATTGCACTGGACAGGCAGTGCAGCAGTGGAACAGCACTAATTGAAGAGGACCTGAGTGTGTTCCTGGGCAGGGCTGGTTGTCGAGCAGCCTCTCCTCACTGCACAGCTTCTCAGGCTCTTGTTTAGGACCATTCCTTGCTGCTGGGTGATCACAGGTACAGGAGTTAAGCCCTTCTGGCACTCTGCTTTTATGTTCCCCTGATTTTTCTGCATTTGTGACAGGATTGTTGATTTTGTTGGATTAGCACTGGAAGCAGAGGAGCAAATTGCCACAGTGCAGGAAGCTTTGAGCTGGCATAGCAGCTTCAGTTTCGGGTGGTTTAGTACAGCATCAGTGGGAATTGCAAACTCTTTCCTGGATGAGATAAAGCTAATAATTCTTGGCAGGCACTGGGAAGCAACTAGATGAGAGAGACAGCGAGAACATCAGGCATTACAAGGCATCTATACTGGATGTACATCAAATCTTTTGAAGCAGACTGTTTACTCGTGGTCATGTCATGCAATCTGATGATAAACACTGCAATACTTGTTATTATCCAGATGTCCCTGGGGACATTAATTTTCTTTATATCACACAAAACACAGCACGGTAGATTGAAGCTACAGATAGTGGATATAAAGAGTTTTAGAATTTCATGTGTTCTGGCACAAAGTACGATCTATTTGCAACATCGAATTGACTGTTATTACACCTTTTCCTGTTGAAATGAAGGAAAAGATGCTAGGCATGTGGGAGTGAAATATGCTTCTCATTTTTGGGGAATATATTATACATATTTCTTTTGTAACTAGAAAGGGAACTGTTTGGAGCTGGTTTTAGAAATTAAGAAATATTTAGCAAATATCCTCACTGATGGGTTTCAGGAATAGAAAAAAAACTTATCCAAAAGTCAACTATTTCTACCAAATCTTGTTTAATTTTCACTGTGCTCTTTTTAATTGAAAACCAGAAAAATTAAGTCAGCGTGAAAGCTGTGTGTGATCATCATTGCTTTGATTGGAAGCTCAGTTTTTAATGAAAAAGATGTCTTTGTGATGGCACATTTAGAGGAGGAAAATGAAAGCTTAGAAAGACTGTTCAGGAGTAGCAGGAAATGAAAGAACCGCCCAGGAATGGAGAAACTTCAAAGCCCTGCCGTGTTAGCTGGGATCATCCAAACCTGAATGTCATAAGCCCTGCAAATGATCAGTAGTTCTGGCAGCAGCTTCTTCACAGGATTGTGCCCCTGTGCAAATGCAGATTTCATTCTCTCCTTTGCTGCCAGGGTCATTCCTGCTATAAGTGAGCCGAGTTTTCTTCAGCTTCAGTCATAATTGTGTGATTTTGTATGAGAGTTGAGATTAGTTCCTGGTCTTTCAATAAAATGTGGCCTAGGAAATAGCCTCGCTGCTTCTCAGCCTCTGTCAGCTAAAGAAATTTTTTACAGGGAATGTTCTCCTGAGAGTGCCTTTTTCTGTTCCATTGTCTCTTGCACAAAGCTCCACAGAGAGCTTTGGCACAGTGGTTGTGAGGGAAGGAGCACTGGCTGAGGGGAAGTAGCTGCTCTGGCTGTTCTGCATCTCAGGCAGAAGGGTCAGGGAAGGTGCAGAGTCACCAGGTGAGTGAAGCCCTCCTGGTACCAAAGCCTCCTCAGTGGACCTTTCTCAGCACTCCAGCCTGGGCTCTGCCAATGGCACTTGCAGGCGTGTTGGAGCTGCTGAGGGGTTACACACAGCCTGTGCAGCTCTGCAGCACAAAACCAGCTCTGCACTCCAGACAAGCTTGGAAGCTACCCAGGGATTTCCCAAGCTGGATCTTATGTTCTCTGGCATGAATATGGCTGCAATTCCTAAGTCAGCAAGCGGAATCAGTGCTAAGATTCTGTATAATAATGATTTATTACTGCACTCTGAGGCCTGTTCCATCCTCTTCTGGACCAGTTGCATATTCCTTCTGCTGGAAAAACTGCCATTTTCTGTCACCCAGTGCCACAGTCACTGCCTTCCAAACAGAGTGTGCTCTGGATCTCTCTTGTATTTTCAGCACTCTGCTATTATAACAATGCTCATTAATGCAGATATGGGCTAATATCTGGGTTTGATTTAGTATATGCATCATACAGAAGCCAACAAGTAGCTTACTGGGGTCACATTTGTGCTGTTGGGCTGAATCATTCCTGATTCATATGTTGAGGCAAAAAGCCAGCAGTTCCAGTTACATCAATGAGCTAAAAGTTTAATAGATACTAATCTGGCAGCTCAGAAGGGAAAAATAGATGTCAGTAATAAGGATGTGTCATTCTAGCAGCCTTTCACATCCTTCACAAGTAGACTTGTTCAGCGTGGATGGAACTGGGTGCATGGGGGCACCAGTGCTGGTTAGACAACACTGACAGGTCAGAGGTGTCTTTCTGGGCCTGCTTAGCATTCCCTGCAGTTCTTTGGTGTGAAGGCACATGACCTGGTCATTAGATACCAAGGCTGACCATCCCAAACTGTCTTCCCCAGCACTTATTTCGTTTTGTTTTGCTTCCTGCAGGCCAGCCAGCTGGGAGTGTACCGGGCCTTTGTGGATAACTATGAAGTTGCTATGGAGACAGCAGAGAAATGCTGCCAAGCCAATGCTCAGTTTGCTGAAATCTCTGAGGTAATGTCACGGTATTCAGACACACGAGCGTCTGGATCTGACTAATCCCCCGCCGTGTCACTCCTGTCTGTGCCCCAGGTGTCTCTGCAGCCCTGGCTCCTGGAGGAGTGGTGAGCTCCCATGGACCCACTCCTCCAGCTCCTCTTCTTACAGCCATTTGTCCCTTGGGCTGATGGAGGTTATCAGAGACAAGCCTTTATGTAGGGTCCCCACCCAGGGAATCTGGTGAGAGATGGCATTGCCTTGAACTTCTTCAGCTCTGTGCCACCTTCATACATTTCTAGAGGGGAAGCTGTGAGTTTCTCAGATGTTTCTCTTGCTAATGATGATGCAGACTGTGGTGTAAAAAGCCATCCTTAATGGCTTGCACTGTGGCTGTCAGTGGGATTGCAGCTTCACTGGCATGGAGAGGTACCTCTCTGAAAAGGCAAGTGTGTCAACAATAATGCTGTAATGCTGTTTTTGGCCTACTCTGATTTCCTCCCTTTCAGAGGAGTACCTGTGTCAGAGCATCTTGAAGACTTCTTTTATGCTTCCAAGGCCACCAGCTTTGCCTGCAGTGCATGGTCTCATTGACTCTTTGTATTGCAGTGATTATTTCTTGAAGAACTCAGTTGCCAGGAAAACATGGATTTCATATGTGTCTCCTTAAAAATAATCAGATAAATAATCAGAGCTGAATAATACCAGGGGTATTTAGTGCTCTGAGAAATCTCCTGAGTACCTCCTATAGTGCATGTCCCTTGAGATTTCTATGATAAAGAGGTAAAATATGATCCCTCAGTTTCACTGTTTCTGAAGGATAATTCTGAAGTCATGCCAGTATTTGGATTGATGGTGATGACACTTTTGCACTTGTGTCCTGGTGAGGATTTTGGAGCTGAGCACATTAATGCATGTTGTGGTCTGTGTGCAGAGAGCAGAGTCACAGACAGTGTTCCTTTGGTGCCATGGAAGAACTGACGTGTCCAAGGTCACCCAGTTCCGAGTGCAGGTCTAAGGAAGCATAACCTGGGGGTACTGAATCCCAGTCCTGTACTTTATGTGCTGTGACAGCAGCTGTGTCCTTATGGACAGTCTTTCTTCTGCAGGTGATTTAAAAACTCCACCATCCCTGTGGAGGTTCCCTGCTCTGCTGCATCTCTATTGGCACGTGCTCCTAACAAAATTGCTTAATATTTGAGATGTTTGGGTGCCTGTGACATGACAATGATGGATTTAGCAAGAAGTAAAGCATATTTTTCCATCACTGACTTGACCTGTGATAGGGCTGTTCTCCTTTCACTCTTAGGCTCTCCCCTGGAGGAGCAGATAGTCTGTTGTGTTGCCATGTGATATTTCAAGGTGATTGACCATCTGCTACGTGGGTTTTCTTCTTTTTCTTTTAGAATCTAAAGGCCAGAAGCACAAAGGAATCTAAAGAACAGACAACGAAAAATTCCTTGGAAAGTGAGTGATCCATACCGAGGAAACTGGTTTGTCAGCACTGTTTGGAGGCTGTTGCCAAACCTCCACTCTCTCTTTTTGTTTTTGAGTGCTGGAAGGTTGTGGAGTCTGCTGGCTCTACCTGGGAAGTAGCAGAGCTCGTTCATAGTAGGCTGTGTGCATGGATGGAGAAGTGCCTCCCTCATCAGTCCCTTTGGGCAAAACCAGCCCAACCAAAGGGCTGCTGTGATTTTAAGGGAGCATCTGCTACCCAATGATAGCACAAATGCAACCCCAGCACTGATTGCTATATTAGTTTTGCCCTATGGTGGCCTCTGAAGAGCCTGGTCAAGATGGGGTTCCATGGTGCTTGTCTTCTCTGTGTGTCTGTGTGTGCTTTATTGGCTGTACAGCACATTAAACTTTAGAGAAGGGATGTTTCCAGTAGCTCATGGGTTAATAAACCTCTGCCTGTACATTCAGTACACTGGACAAGTTGGTCTGTAGGGACTGTATTTAGGTACTTCTTCCTCACGTTCCTGCTGCTTTTCTTTCACAGCTCTACTGTACAAGCCTGTGGATCGAGTGACTCGCAGCACACTTGTCTTGCATGTAAGTATCTGAAGGGTAGTTTGCAAACTTGAGACCCTTTTCTTGTTTTCTTTGACCTTTAAATTTTCCATGGAGCAGGACTGCAAAAATAAACCTCTTGTGCTGCATAAGAGCCTCTTCCCTTTACACTAAGGGGATGGAGTCCATAGGTAGGATGCTGTTATCTCTTCAATGGTGTCACGGGGAAGTGCAGAGTATTATTATCTCCTAGAGATAAAGCCTTGCTCTAATCAGTAAGAAGAAGCTGGAGCATCTTGTCCTACAACTCTAGGTTGGGGCACTCAAACCCTTCTGCTCTCCAGTGCTGCTCATGGTTCTGTTCTCTGTTTGTGCTCCCATTGTCAGGATTTGCTCAAGCACACTCCAGTGAGCCACCCCGATCACCCCCTGCTGCAGGATGCTCTGCGGATCTCTCAGAACTTCCTCTCCAGCATCAACGAGGAGATCACTCCTCGGCGGCAGTCCATGACTGTAAAGAAGGGGGAGGTGAGTCTTCCTGCTTTCATTATTTTCTCAGTTTCTGAACACTGGTTGTGTCTTTTCTGTAGGGCAGACCAGGAAGTTATGCTGTTAATCTGTTTGTTGCTAAGATACAGTTAATGCAGTGTCCTTGTTCTCTGAAGGATGTGGTACAGCTCCCTCTGTTTTCTGTTCAGAAAACAGTTTGGAAACCCAGAGGAAAAGTATGATTAGAGTTTTCTCCTTAGCATTGTTAAAATCATTTGTCATACATAATTGCTGTGATGCATATTGCTATGCACTAAGTGGATTTGTATTTTACCTGCAAACTGAAACCAAAGGGGAAGCCTGGGAGGAGAAAAAAGTGAGGAAACATCAGAAGTCATGAAAGATTGGGAAAAACTGTTTTCCAGATTCTTCATTTTCACCATAAAACTAATTTTCTGCATCCTTATTTCTAAAGAAGAATGTTGTAAATATGACTAGAAAGCAAAACAAGTGGAATGTGTTGGGAAAGCCAGAGGAGGTGATTGTCTCCCAAGAACGTGATATAACCCTTCTCAGCTCTGCTGGGAGCTGGACTGCACCCAGAAAGCTCTAAGATGTGCAGTTCCTTTACCTGCAGGCAATGCTGTGCAAGGAGGCCACAGAGCTACTCAGTAGTGAAGTCCTGCATTCCTCAATGGGCTTCATTCAGCTGCCTCATCATTTCATTAGGAAGGGGTTCAGTCCCTCCTGACCAGGAAAGGCCAGGACTGGCAGAAGTGTTGTGAGAGAAAAGGATGTAGGAGACTGGACAAAAAGAGCTGCAGCTGAGATACTAAATGTGTAAGAGGAATTGTGGCAGCGTGCCAGAGACACTGGCTGGTCAACAGTGACCCAAATTACCCTGTACAAAAACATCTCTCTTAATAGGAGATTGTTAAGATACCATGAACTTCCATGATTTATTCCCAAATCTTGACAGCTAAACATGCTTGCTCTTAGCTGTTAAACTGATTTTCAGCTGACAAAAGATTTGCTAGAAGCTGCAGTACTGGGAATTTGGTGCACTTTGTCCTGCAAGTGTTGCTCATTGTCTTCTTTTGCCAACCGAGGAAGTCTGCAGCTGAGAAAAGAAGAGGAGGGGCTGAGCAATTGGAGGCTGAGGTAGAAGCTCAGGCATCAGCCACCAGGGCCTCAGTGATAGTAGATGGCCTCATTAAAGTGGCTGCTGATTGAGTCATAGCAGAAATCACAGGCTAGAATGCCCCTCGCAGGGGAGGGAGCATTTTGTGTTCTCTGGTTGTCTGTCAGCATCTCAATGAGGGATGAGGCTTTGAAAAGTGTCAGGCAGAATCCTAATGAGGTGCCAGAGCCCAGGCAGAGGGGCAGGCTCAGGAGGATGATCCTGATGATGGCTTTTTGGAGCAGTATATTTGTCAGATCTTAGAAAGCAGGATTGGGCTCAGCAGGCCTGTTCACACTCTCCCTGGTCCTGCAGTGACTCCAGGTATGGTGTGGGGAGGGAAGAAGGGGACATAACAGGGGAGAGGGCTGTGGGTGTGCTGGAGGGGACTGGGAACCCTTTGTGCTCTCCCTCACTGCACACAGGTTTTACTGAGCCCAGGGAAGAAAAGGACCTGGTTCTGATGCTTCCCAGAGTTTGCCTTCCACTCTGGGAATCTAACAGTGAATATTTTCTTTAGTCATTTGGCAGCAATATCCCACTTTTTTCAAAGCAGTAATGCCCCAGTGGATGCCCCTCTGTGTCTAGAGAGTAGGTATGTTCACTCTCCTGTAGTAATCCAGAGATACAAATCTGCTCCCAGCTACTCTGTGTGGGTTAGTGATGGCTGTTCCTTCCTCTGCAGGCTGCTCAGCTTGGGGTCATAGCTGGGTTTTGTTTATGCCTGTAAATCTTTCCTTTTCTACTTATCCTTTCCTCCCACTTGCCTTGCTGGTGCTTCCCCTGGGGTGACAGGACAGTGTGTGGATTGCATCTCCTAATTGACTGCTCTCAATGCATAATGCATTTTTTATTTTAATGAATCACCAGCTTGCTTTGATGGCTTTTTTCATTATTTGTCTTCCTCCCATTGAAATTTCCTTGGTGGAAAGGAAGGAGGGTAAAACAGCCTTTTCCCCTCATGTATTGCTTAGGTGCTGATCTCAGTTATCTTTTTTCCCCAGTCCTTGCCTTTTATGTGGAATATTTTTTCTCTTTGAGTGCGTTGTGGGGAGGAATCAAATCTCCTTTGCCAGCCTCTTGCTCCTGCTCTTCTTTTCAGGATTGCTTTGAACTGGGGAAGGCAGCCAGTTGTTAATCTCCCTAGTGACAGGCTGCTAAGGAGGAGAGTGCAGGTCAGGAGAGAGTACAAGCTCATCAGCACAGCCTTCCTCGCTCTTGCAGGAGGTGATTCCCTGCTTTGGGAGCACTGGCTCAGTCTGACCTGCCTGCTGGCTTCCTGTGTGATGCCAGGTATCTCTCCAGCCCCCTGGTTCTGCTGGGCTCTGTAGGCTTTGTTCTAATTCTGGACTTATGCAGATGAACAGGAAGGTGTCTGTGGTGCAGTTTAATTTGCTGGGCTGAATGAGCATTCCAGGTAGTGCAAAGAGATGGGAACAAAGGGAGTAAAACCTTTCACCAGAGGGACAGAAAGAGCTCCAGCAGGGATGGCAGTATTGGTGGATTGAGTCTGTGAACAGAGTTTGGTCCTTGCTGACTGTAGCAAACTGCTTTGTGGTCTGCTGAGGGCTGTGGTGCAGAGGAGCCAGGAGAGCCCCAGCCTGGCAACACAGGGGAGCCAGGAGGGCTTGTCTGGCCTTTGGGGTCTCTTTCCATTCAGCTTGATCCGCTACATTCTCTTGCTTTGTCCTTCCCATTTTTCTACTTTTATAGTTTTACTTTCTTACTGTTCTTTTTTATGGATTATCTGCAGGAATCCACTTTGCTAAGCCTCTGAATAACCAAACAAATACATGGAGGGAAAGGGGATCTGAGCAGCTCTGTACCTTGTGACTGGGAATGTGAGTGGTGGAGAATCACCCACCCCTTGAGTCCAGGGAGCAGGGCACCTTCCTTGCTCCCTGCTGATCCTGCTTCACCACTGCTGTCTTAGTTTAAATAGGGAACGTGGTTAAGGTTCTACTGGGGACGGTGCCCTGGGGAAGAAGGAAAACAAATGCTTTGGGATGAAGGATGTGCCACTATTATGTGCAGAAGGAGAGGAGTAATAACCTTTTTTACTCTTATTAACAGAGCAGCTCTATGTACTGCACCTTGTGGTTTTTTTCAACTAAGCCCAGATGCAAATAACTGTAGCACTTGGGTCATCTTGCAAGGGAGCAGAAGTGCAGACTGAAGCCTTTGGAAAGCTGGAAGCTCAGCATGAGGCCTGGTGCCTACTGCTCCGAGGCCTTGGGCAGATGTTGGCTGTTGAGCACTCAGAAATGATCTTGGCTGCTTCAAACTCTGTCTTACAGCTGCAGCCAGAGGGCTCCTGGTGACAGGAGCTTTGGGAAGAAGAAAGAAAGGCTATTAAAATGCTCAAAGTGCAGCCAGTTTAATTCCCTGGGCAGAGCATCCCTTTATTCTGCAGTGCTGGTCTTGCAGCACACACACACACACACACACACGAGGAATCATTTTCTTCCTACGCTCTGCAGAAAACCAAACCAGCTCTTCCTCACTGACATGTGCCAATACCCATCTCCTGCTTTTACCCTCCTCCCTCTGCCTCACACATGTTCCAGCCCTTCCTGGGGCTCTCTCCCACGCACACACTGGAGGGCTCTGCTGTCACCACATCAGATGAGCTCCTTCCTCGGCACACAGGCGAGGAGAGATGGCCTTTTGTGCAGCTGTGGTTCTGGTTGAGTAGGTTTTTAAATTCCACTTTTTGTAATGTGTCTCAGACAAGCTGGCCGCACTTCCTGGAGTTAATCAGTCTGTGACAGCAGCAGGATTTCTCATATGCAAACAGCACAAAAACACCGTAGGATGAGTAGATGAGCACACAGGTAGTCGTGAGGTTGGTAGCAGAGGAGGGGGAGATGCTCAGTGAGAGAAGTAAGAGGAGGAGGACAGCAACAGGCAGTCCAAAGAGGATAACCAAGCACTGACAGAGGTACTCCTTTGTTCAGAGCACTGAGGTGGGTGGGAGAAGAAGCAGGTGAAAAAACATGCAGAGAAAAGCAGGGCCTGGAGAGGAGGCTTGGGACTTACATTGTACCGGTACAGGAGCTTTGCCAGAGCCACTGAAGGGAACAGATTGAAGATGATCCTAATTCAGTCCATTATGATACAAAATTGGGAGTTTTCCCCCTAGGCTTCCTGGAACAACTTTCTGTAGCTGAGCTGAGCTCATGTGCTGGACACTCGACAGTCTTGGGGGCTGTATATGGAAGAGAGGGGCTTGCACTGCCACTGTACTGCCACTCTCACCCTAAGCTTAGATTTTCACGCATGTTTATGTGGTTTTGTGTAGTTTATGTTGTTTCAGGGTGTTTTAGGAAACCATTATCACCTTTGGCAACCTCTAACAAACAGAGTAAGTCTGGAAACAAGGTAGAGACATGGTTTCCCACATGTGGGTTATTGTATGTCATGTACAGCAGGATTACTCAGCCAAAAGGCCTTGTGTTTCAGGAGACCCTGTTTAACAGGAGGCCACCAAAGGCATAGTTGGTGGCCCTGGGTGGGAGAAGTTGACCAAAGTGTTGGTTCCCAGACTGCCAGAGAAGACCTGTGGAGCTGAGGTGGCACAGGCATCTGACTAGCAGGAGTCCTGTCTGAGGGGGCTGCTGGCTCCCCCAGGGTGGGAGAGGATGGGCTGACTCATGTTAGGAGGTCCAGGAAGGTGCCCTTTGCTCCCACACTGTGGGGTTTGGCAGGGATCTGGTAAGCCAGTTGGGAAATCCTTTTATTGTTTCCCTCTGACCTGCTGAACCTCCCGGCAAGATGACTAATGTGCAACAGAGGATGTGCCCCTTTGCTGGAAGTGCCCCTCCTCAGCTCCATGGATGCTGAGCAGCCTGGGACATGCCTGTTGTGCCCAGCCATAACAAAAGTCCTCTTTTCTGAGAGAAGCTGGTAGTGAGGAGAGATTTCCTGAGTTGGTCCACATGTTTTCTCCCATACTCTCCTCCTCAGATGCTTGGTTGCTCTTGTGGCAGTTTAGCCCTTCTGCTTGCTGGAGGGAGACCTTTCCAACTAGCTCATGAGCAAGAAGATATGAAGACTGAAAAGTCTGGGAGGCTCAGTATTTTCCTCTGAGTGACTAACTGGAATATATCCTTTTCATCTCTTTCCTTCTGTTCCAGCCAAGCTTAGGAAATACAGCCTTCTTGTATTCCCACCCACCTCCCTTTGTGGGACTTTTTGCTGCCTCATGGTTGCACTGTGTCTGTGTCAGTCAGGGCACTTGGTAGCCAGGAGTGCAAACCCAAATAAACCCAGTGTGACTGAAGCCAGCTCAGCACAGGTGGGAACTGTGAAGGTTGGTGAGTCACGCCCCTGTTTTGGCATCGAATGGCTGAGCTCTCTGCCCGGGTTTTGGGGCGATGTGCTCTTGGCAGGGTGTTGGGCTGGGCTCTTGGCTCACCTCACACACTGCCAGTGCCTGGCAGAGGTGGGCAGAAGGCCAGGTCAGGACTGTGCCATGTCCCTGCCAATCAGGGAGAGGACAGTGCTGCATCCTGCTGAGGAACAGAGGTGAGTGAGCTGTGAGAACATCTTTACACCTACGAACAATGAGCAGAGGTTGAGCTGGCAGTAAGCAGTTATTCTCATAGCCCCAGAGGAGCTGAGCTGATTTGCAGAGTAATTAATATGCATCAGATCTAGAAACCTGAGATCAGGGTTTTGGCTTGCTCAGAAAATATCTTTTCCTGCTTATTATTGCTCCCAAATGAAATTCTTTGCAGCTCAGGAGTGCTCTTGCTACTGATAACATACCTCCTCCTGTTTATTTATTTTAAAGCTCAGTGTTTCTAGTTTTCTACCTGGGGTTTGTTCACCATGCAGGAGGGGAAGGTGTGCACAAGCAGCAGAGCCATTAATGCAGTGAGGCGTTCGCCCCAAAACCACTGAGGAGGAGCCAGGAGGATCACACCCACCTAAAAATAAACACTAACATATGTACAGGCCCTTCTGAGCCTGTATCACTGCTGGATGCCAGATCTCCACAGAGTCCTGCCCAGAGATGGTGCAACATTCTGCTGGGGAGCAGCCTTGCTTCCCACAGCGATGGGAAAGGTGCAGCTTTTGCTGCTGCTGCTCATGGATTTCCAGGACCTTTGTGTCATGGAAGGCAGCACCCAGATGAGCTGCTGACACTGCTCTGGGTGCTTTAACAGGTCACTGTGGTGCAGCTGCAGACAGGAAAATGCAGGCTGTGCAGACAAGAATTTGTCTTTGCCATGCATTCCCTGCCATGGTGCCTGCTGGGCTCAGGACTGATGTGGTTTGTTTCCATGTTGGAGAGCCGAGATGGGAAGAACCGTAGGTGGAAGGAGAGGCAGCGTGGGGGGTTTGTACTCCCACACCCTCGGCAGGGAGTGTGTGCAGGGCTTGTTAAGTCACGCAGAGAACAGAACCTGGGGGGCATCACCTGAGAAACTGAGGCATCAGCTCTGGTGTGGGTGTCCTGACCTGGCTCAGGGGAGCTGCCTTCCTGGTGCTGCAGTGCTGAGCACATGGAGCTGAGCTGCCTCGTGGAAACAGAATTTTGTGTGTGTGTTCCCAGTGTGTGGAGCAGGTCAGGAGTGAGTCACACAGGCAAGTCCTGAGCGTGGGGCTGGGGAGGGCTCACGGTGAGGCAGCTCAGACCTTTTGGCTGGCCCTGGACAGTGTCAGCAGAGCTCTCCTGTCAGCAGCCACAGCGCTGTCTAGGCCATGTGAGGGATGTGTGACGTGTCACTTGGTGGTGTCAGGGGAGCATCCTCTTAGCTGGAATAACAAGGAAATAGTTTGGGTCATGGAAAAGTTCCTTAGTGTGCCTTAGCACGTGTGGTGAAGCTGATGGTTCCTGCTTGTACTGGGCATGAAGTGAGGCAACACTGACAGTTACACATATTGGTGGGAATAAAACTTGCCCAAAGTTGAATGGCCCTGTTTGGAAATCAGTGGGAGTTATCTATTCCAGATGTGGAAGCAGATCCTGACAGCAGAGTGGAAGGCCTGAGCATAGAGCAGGGCATGAAACTCCTGATGTGGTCACTGGTACCTGCACACAGCCATCTGTGTAAGTGCTAGCACTCCAGCCTTTTAATCTTTTAACTGTGAACTCCCCCCCATAAGGGAATTAAGAAAGCAATACTTATGCCTGCTTATCTGTGCCTCTTCTTTAGGAGATTGTAAAGCTCCCTGGAACTAAAAACAGGAATAAAGGCATCAGAGTTGTGCAGCTTCTTTGAATTTTCTAGATTTGGCGAGTCTTTATATGATATAAAAAGAGATTTCCATAGACATGGAGTGGGGGTATATCCAGATGGTTCTATTAAAGCACAGGCTGATAAGGGCCTACTGAGAAGTTTGATGGATACACATGTTCAGGAATTATCCCTTAGCAGCACTTGTAATGAAGAAGCAGCAATGGCTGCTGTTGCTGTTCAGCTGTTAACGTTGACAAACTCTGCTGTGACTGCGAGAGGAGGTGTCCGAGGAGGGCTTAGCTCTGTCCCTGGAGAGGTGGCTGAAGCTGAATGCAGAGGCTGGGAAGTGGCTCTGGGAGAAGCGGTGTGTGCTGCTCTCTGCTGGCTCCAGAGGGGACGATTCCCTGGCAGAGATTCAGGAATTCGGGGATTCCGGCCCTCCGGTACACAGAGGCTGGGCAGTGACTCAGTGAGTGACACTCGGGCTCAGAACAGGTGATGGAGAGAAGCCCGAAGTCTGACCCAGCACTGGGTACTGAAGGAGATGCACGGCCATCTGTGCCTCTGGGAGAGAGGGCAGCAGCAGGGAGCAGAGTTTACAGCCAGGAATATTTAATAGGCTGTCTTCTTTTTTCTGAATCAGACAAATTTACTGAATTTGCTCTGGTAGGAGTCACATCTAAGGAATGTGTTGCCCCGGTGCCAGATCTGGAGCTCGTGTTGCACTGACACATTTTTCCTGCTCTTTTCCCCAGCACCGGCAGCTGCTGAAGGACAGTTTCATGGTGGAGCTGGTGGAGGGGGCCCGCAAGCTGCGCCACGTCTTTCTTTTTACCGATCTGTTCCTCTGTGCCAAGCTCAAGAAGCAGATTGGAGGGTGAGATTTTCCTTCTGAACTGGGTGCTTTGTACCTCAGCTGCAACAGAATCCTGGGTTTAGCCAGCAGTTTTAGTTGCATGTGAACACCCCAAACATGGGTAACTAAAACCCACAAGATGTACTTAGACAAGGAATAATCAGCAAGGCAGGACTGTTTCTTGTATGAGACCTTGTCCATGTCCTAATCCCTCAGGAAAGGTTAATTCCTCCCATCTCTGCCCTGAGCCTTCCTAGGAAAATAGGATATGCTGTAGCTGCTGATGTTCAGGACAAATGCCATTAATTTTTCTACTTCCCCTTTCTTTTAATAGGTGACATTCTTCACTTTCTTTTGTGACTAAGGTTATTAGTTTTGGCTTTGCAGCTACAACCTGTTAACAGCTTTACAGAAAAATACCAAAGGTGCAGTAAACTGACTGTCAACCCCAAAGGGCATCTATAAAGACAGTTTTGTTAACATTTTTGACAAATGAGGGGAAGGAACAATTACCAACATACCTGCCTCAAATAGGGCTTCTCTTCATTTGGTGAATGTTCTTCTTGGAGACCCCTCTCATCTCCTTGCCCTCCTCAAGCAAAAAGTTATGCCTGCCCTTTTTGAAGCACATGCTTGTGAGGAATGAACCTTCAAAGCAGAGGGATGTTCCCAAGAGTGGATGTTCCTGACAGTAGAGGTGGGGCTCACCTGCCCCATTTGGGGGAAGGGGGGGAAAACCTGGGTTTAGGTCACAGGTGGCAGCCAGGTCAGAGGTTTGGCACAGCTTTAGAACTTTGTCTGGATGGAGGCTTTCAAGGGAGAGCACATGGCACTGAAAGGGTTTGCAGGAGAGGGCTGTGGTTTCTTAGGATAAAAGGAACTAGCTATCAAAATGAGTTGTCTTGTGTACTTGTGCTGGCTATTGCCCTGCTGGGCTTTCTTACAGGATAGCAGCCTTTTGCCAGACTTTTTCCACATAGGAATCACAGTAAAGTTGGACCCATATCTGTATCTTATGCACTATAGTTGGGAAGGGGGAGTGGGTATTGTCAAACACCAATAATAGTAAAAGGTTTGGACTTTCTGCCTTTCAGGAAAAGCCAGCAATATGACTGCAAATGGTACATCCCACTCACTGACCTCAGCTTCCAAATGGTGGATGAGTCTGAGGCAGTGCCCAATATCCCACTGGTACCTGATGAGGAGCTGGATGCCATGAAGATCAAGATATCCCAGATCAAGAACGACATCCAGCGGGAAAAGGTAACAGGGGCTGAGCACTCCCTGACAGGTACAGACCCAGTGTCTGTGCTGAGGTGCCGCAGCAGCAGCACTCCCAGGGCTGCACAGCGTGGGGAGTTGTGTTAGAACAGGCTGTTCAGCAGAGCTTTGTGATACCCAGATGCTTTGCAGCCCCTCGTTGCTCATCCTCATGCACAGCTTGAATGATGGTGCCCTGTGAGGAGGCAGAAACAAAAACACCCTGTAGTTGTACCCAGTAGCTCCTCTACTCCATGAAACCACCTGTGACTGCTATCCCTGAGCATCCATGTGCAGGGCAAGGCTCTTATGCTGTGGACAGGAGAAGGACTGGGAGTGTGACATACTAATTTCTGGCTGCTAAAGTATGATCCTGCAAGTGATTTTGGTCAGAAGCCATGTATTCTTCAGTTTTTGCAAGCTCAGTTATACCTTTAAGTCTTTTTCCTACTTCACTGATGTCAAAGCATCAGCAAATGTATGGAGAACACCAATTATGTTGACTGAACAGTCTGACACAGACACGGTGTCTCTGGCCCAGGCTTCTCTTTGCTTGCAAGACATGTTTTCTCAGAGGTGTTAGACTCCTGGAACCAAAAGAGAAATAAGAGTTTGAAAACTGAAGGCCTGCTGGTGTGTAGAGCTGGATATGAATAACACTGATCATGTCGTGACAAGATTATTCCCCACACTCCTGCCTCTCTGCCCTGGCTGGCTTTCAGAGAGAGCTTCCTGGAAAAAGGAAGATATTAGGAAGAACACTCCGTGGAAACCTCTTACTCACCAGGTGCAGGTGTCTTAAGATACATGCTGTGGTGCATCACTGCCAAACAATACACATGGCTGGGTTTGGAACCAGGTTTTATCCAGGAAAAACTGATTTTAGGTGACTTCTGATGAAAATAGATCAGTGGGTGGTGAGTGGGAGAGTTCTGGGCAGCTTCTAGGGAAGTTCCTTTCAGTCTCCTTAGTTAATGAGAGCCTGGCAGTGCTGTGGCTGCCCAGTGACACGATGCTGCTGCAGCCTCTGGGTAGAAAGTACAGGGTGTAACTGGGACAGTGGCCATGCACCTCTGCACCTTCATCTGGGACAGCTGGAGTTGGGGAACAGAGCAGAGTGTGAGTGTAGAGGTACTGCAGGAACATGTTCCTGAGCAGCTGGGAGCCCTGTGGATCCTGTTGACAGCATTTCTTCTGCCATGGGGCCATTTCCCTACTCACAGAGGGGAGGGACTGTGGATTTTAAAATATCCGTTAGTGTAAATGGGATAGATGTTGGAGAATGACATGTGTCCTCTGTCTCCTCTCTCCCCTACCCTCCAGAGGGCCAATAAAGGCAGCAAGGTCATTGAGAGGTTAAAAAAGAAGCTCTCGGAGCAGGAATCCCTCCTACTGCTGATGTCTCCCAACATGGCCTTCCGGGTGCACAACCGCAACGGGAAGGTGAGAGGACATCCCGTCCCCCCAGTGTGCCTGAGACCATGGGGGCCTGTGGGGGGGGAATTGTATTGGTTGTTGCACAGCTGTCTGTCCTGAAAGCCCTTTCCAAGCAGCAGACACCCAGCCCTTACTGTACCAAGGGTTATGATGACATCCTGTAAGGCTGTGACTGATCTGTACACGTCCCCTGCTCTGGCAGTGCTGTGACCTGTCACCGTGGCCTTTCCATGCACGTGGCAAAGGATTCTCTCAAGACTGTGTTACTGCTCGGTGACAATCCATGAGCTGGTCGCTGCTTCCTCAGCTTGCACCAGTGTCTAGGCCTGTGCTGGAGGCTTTTGGGGTTCCTGGTGTTGTGGGCACGGCACAGAGCTGCCATGGGAGCCCATGGCTGCGGGGACACGGCTGCTGTTGGCAGGGTGGGGCTCTTACTGTCCGTGCTGGCACCACCGGTGCTTTGCCAAAGGATCTTTCCACAGCCCTGCCTGTCCTGACAGAGCTGTGATGCAGGACATGTGGCAGGAGTGCCAGAAGGACAGTATATCCAGCACTTAGCTCTGGAGGAGGGTGGGGGCAGGCAGGCCAGCCCTCAGACTAATGCACTATTTTCTTCTCTTTTCCTGGGCAGAGTTACACGTTCCTCATTTCATCAGACTATGAGAGGGCAGAGTGGAGGGAGAATATCCGGGAGCAGCAGAAGAAATGTGAGTGTCCCTTGGCTGTTATTGATACAAATACTGTGATCTTACTGGAGAGCAGGAGTCCAGAGGATGAGGAAAACCTGCAAAATCAGAGATATGCATTGAAATCCCCAGCACAACAAGCATGTCTCCTGTCTCTGCATGTCTGAGGCTGTTTGGGGGACTTCTGCTTGCAGCAACATGTAGGTAATGTGTAGGGAGAACACAGAGTAAGTGTGGTAGAGGTGCTCCCATTTACCCTAGAGATCAGAGCTCAGTTGCACCTGCAATTCCAGGTACAGGGAACAGCTGCACGCTTTTACCTGGCTCCAGTCCAAAGAAACTTAGTTACTTTTTTTGGCAGGGGTGTTTTTTTGGCTTTGCAAGAAAGTAAGAACCTCCCGTTGTTTCCTGTGAACCATCCTGAGAGTTTTTACTCCCCACAGTAACTCAGTGTGCCCTCAGCAGAGCTGAGCTGCAGCAGCAGCACAGCCCTGAGCACCTCATGCTGTCGCTGGGCACTGCCCTGGATGAGGGAGAAGGTATCCAGCCTCTCCTTTAGATTTGAATTCCTCCCCCTTTGAATCTCCCTGGCAGGCTTTAAAAGCTTCTCACTCACATCGGTGGAGCTCCAGATGCTGACAAACTCCTGTGTGAAGCTTCAGACAGTCCACAACATTCCCCTCACTATCAATAAGGAAGGTAAGACCTTTGGTTTATGTTTTCACATGGTGCAGCTGCAGTGAAACTCTCCCCTGCCTGCTTTTGTGAATTCCCCTGGTTCTTTTTGCTACCCACTGCAGCCTGGTGATGAGTTACAAACTGAGAGTCCCTGTAAAACAAAACCTGAGGCCATGTGTGACCAGCCTGTGTGGTTTAGTTGAAGTAGATGATGGCATACCAAGAGAGAGCAGCAGGAACAAGAACAGTCTGTCATCCCAATGCTAATGCTGCAACAATAAAAATACAAGCTCCACGTTATGTGGCTACATCTAAATTAGCAAAATATTCCCCAACATCCTCCAATATATATTCATTGACTATTAAATGGTCCTTATATGCAGCTGTTGTGCAAGGTACTGGAGTGCCTGGTGGAGTCCTAACCTGGGACAGCTTTGAACTATGCCTGGGAATCCTTTGGAAGAACACTAATTGGCCAAAATTGCGTTGGAGACCATCCTAAATTACTATTTAATCTGCTAGTCTAGACTTAGCCTCTGTATTTTACTTTTATATTTTTACTTTATATTTTATCTTGAATTTCTTCCATGCTGTCTTGCTGACCCTAGAAATGTCACTGTAGAAGCCTCCCACTGCCAGAAGGCATTGCAGGTGACAGTGCTCCTGGAACAGTCTCCTCTCTTCCTTAGGGACAGTTTACCCTCTGCTCATTAACCTGTGTAATATCAGTCTCATCACTCTCAGCTCCACTGTGAATGTAACAGAATTCCTTGGGTCTTTTGTACAGATGATGAATCCCCGGGTCTCTATGGATTCCTGAATGTCATTGTCCACTCTGCCACAGGATTCAAGCAGAGCTCAAGTGAGTTGCAGTTCTGTGACACGCAGAGGTACTGACAGGGGTTAGATAAGTCATATGCTGGGACAGCTGGGCATGGGCTGATTTAGGACTGCAGCATCTGTGGTGATGGTGAGGAGGAGAGGGGTTTTGGGGAACTAGAAGTTTCTACTGTGGACTCTCAGAAAGATCACCATCAAGGGTCAAGCACGCAGCACTTATTTTTAGGCCTAATCTGGGTTTTTAAGGAGTGTTTGCTGATTACCCACCTCTTCTAGAAACAAGTCAGCCCTTATACTGAATTCTTTCAGCTGTATTTTGTTTTACAATGAAAGAATGGAAAGCATTCTCTGGCATCCAGATTGTTTGTTGTGAAGAAAGAGGTGCTAAAATTCAGGGGCGTGATTTGACAGAAGGATCAAAAAGGTGACAGACTAGAGTGAGGAGGACCCTGGTAGGAATGACTGTGATTCCCAGACATTGGTGGGGATAATCTAGAACAGCTGCCCAGGTTACCTGGCCTTGGGGCTGGGGATCCTGTTCATATCCAAGCTAAGTGTGCAGTCCAGGGAGGAAAGGAGTGCACTGGGAGTACATCCCTGTTGACTTCCTCCTGCTGAGCCACTGACTGCCCAGCTACTGCCTGACAGCACATTTGTAAGTTAGGACATAACTTACAGGTGGGGCAATGTCTACAGCTCATTAGTAACTCTTCAGAAGCACCAAATACCACCTGTTTAACCACTTTGTAAAAATAATGAGGTTTTTGCCCCCTGACCTGCTCCCTGAGGGATCCTGCACTGATGCCGTTCTAGGGAAATCACTGTGTTGATGGGGCCCAGTATCTACCTGGGGAAGGTTTATTGCTCACTGGGGTACACCTTCAGCTCAGTGTGGATTGATCTGGGGAATACTGGATAACACCATATGCCTGATTTTTGATAGAGGTGAAGGGCTTGTCTGTGCTGACATAATTTATACAGCTGTGCTGGTACTTCAGCTTCCTAAAGGCAACTGGGCTGATCCAGATGATGAGATTTGTATGGAATGATGTTACTGGTACTAATACAGAGATGGTGGAGCTGAAGACACACCCTGGAAGTGATTAATGTGAATTTGGAGATTCTAGAAACTTCTTAAGTTTCTGTTGCTGTCTCCCCTCCTCAGATTTGTACTGCACGTTAGAGGTGGATTCTTTTGGGTATTTTGTGAACAAGGCCAAAACTAGAGTTTACAGAGACACCACAGAGCCCAACTGGAACGAGGTAGGTTTGATTTTTCTTGCTGTGACTTATTCCATGTGCCAAACATCAATGCACAATGGGCAGAAGATCCACCAATGGAAGAACTTGCTGCATGCTCAGCACTTGTGCTGCACTTGCTGCTGCTCAGAAAGCCCTTTCCTGCCAGGTTCATTTGGCTGTCAGGGCTTGCAGAAGATTTTCTCTTGGATTAGCTGTAGTTAAACAAACAATTTGATACAAATGAGTCTTGTCCAGTATTTCATCATTTAAACAGATGCATGTTTGATTATTTTTTTAAAGACACAAGTGAAAATATGTTGAAGGACGTGGTTTTGTTTATTTGTTGAGAGAGGGAAGAATTAGCTGTAGACATTTTGCCTGTTAACAGGCAACTGGTGGGGAGCAAAATTCATTACAAGGAAGGTGGGTGAGTTTGTGTCTGAACAAGGCTTTGCTGAGACCCAGTGAAACCTGACTAAGGAGTGAACCATCTTGGTCTCTGATTTGACCACCTTATATATACAAAATACAATTTCACTTTATTTTCTAGACCAACTCCATTAGGGAGGAGGTTTTGGTCAGTCCTTAAGTGCTCCCTTCTGATGAATTTTAAGGAGACTAAATTGACTATTATGAGACTGGTGTCCTCCTGTGGTGCATCCATAGCTCTTTCCTGTCCTGGTGCCCTGCAGGAGTTCGAGATTGAGCTGGAGGGCTCACAGACACTGCGGATTCTGTGCTATGAAAAGTGCTACAACAAAACCAAGCTCACCAAAGAGGATGGAGAGAGCACAGATCGAATCATGGGGAAAGGGCAGATCCAGGTAAGACTGTGCTGAGCTCATTCCTACTACCCTTTCTGCAAAACATCACAGGAGTTTTGAATCCTGGAGCGCACCTGGAGCGCATTCTGAGTGTCTAAGTATTGAAGATTTTTGTCTAGATAGTGAGGTACACAGTGTGACTCACAGAGTGTGACTCACAGAGAGGAAGGCAGCAGCTTTTTACCTCTTGCTTTGTGCCCTATGTCTGCTTCAGCATCCTTATGAAATAGCTGCTTTTTCAAGAAAGTTTGTTTTGATCTCTCATTTGCCCATTAACCTCCAAACTTCCAGCCCAGTACAGGAGCTGCACTGCCCCTGGGCACTGCTGAGGATGCTCCATTTGTGGCAGGAGGAAGTAATGAATATCCTCTCCCCTCTGTAAATCATGTGCTGGAAGGTGATGGATGTGTTGGTCAAGCCCTGGAGGACAGGCTTATTGTCCTGATAACTGCCATGTCCTGGGCATGGTGTCCATGACAGCAGGGGGCATCCGAGGGGGATTTCCACTGTGGAGAATCCACGTGGGTCACTTTGTGTGGCAAATTTGTAATACAAGAGGGGAGGTGATGATTGCAAAGGGATGCTGCTCTTGGGGAGCTGCTGTGTAGGAGGGATCTGCCATCCATGGAGGATGACATCAGGAACATATGTTCCCCCTCTTGTTCCAGTCTGTTGCACTGTCTGTCCACAACTTCAGGGGGGTGTTTAAATGGCTGCTCCGAGGGCACATTCTTTGTGCTGGAGTGGCTGTTGTACAGAGCAGAGACCCTGCCCAGATACCTTTGTCTCTCTGGGATGCTCAAAGATCTCCCCATTCCCCTCCGTGTACCAGTGCCTGTCCCTCTCCCCAGCACTGGAGCAGTGGCTGGGATTGCAGAACAGCTGGGATTGGGGGCAGCCTGTGGGATCCCATTGCTCTGCCAGGGTTCACTGGCCAAATGACTCCCATCAGGGCTGTCCCTTCCCTCCCTCCTTGCAGCCCGAGGCTGCCACGTGTCACAGAGAGAGCTTTTGTTTCAAATGCCTGGTGGGATTTGGAAGGGAACTCGTGTACAAATCAATAAATGCCAGCACAGGGTGTCTCCTGTGTGTGTGTCTCAGCCCGACCAGAAATCTCTGTCTCCCTCCCCCTAACAAAGGTTGTTTTCCATGGAGATGAGCAACTACAAAAGAGCAAGTTTGCAGCCCTGAAATGCCATGGGGATTTGTGTGCTTATAACAGAGAACCCTGAAATCACTGACCCACTAAATCCTCCCAATATTTTACCTAGAATGATTTTAAAACCAAATCAAATCATTTAAATTTTAAGCAATTTTTTTCTTCGTACAGGAGTGAGCATTTTTCTGCACAGCAATGGCATATTCTGTTAATACATTTTATATTAAAATTAGTAAGTAAAAATACTCTTTGGTGACACTTATATATTAATTGCATCTTGATTCTTTTAGAAAAAGCTAAACACTGGGAAGGTTTAAAAATGGGAAAAAATCAATAAAAATGTTTTTGATTAATGTGCAAATGTTGCATTCTGTTATATCATAAAAGGCACATGCAAAATTTCTCTTGCTTTCTTTCCATCCCCTTTACAATTTGTAAAGAAATTTGGTGAACTGTCAGAGCATCCTCTTAATTCTCAGTGATTTCTGCTCCGTCACACAAATTTTAAACACTGTTGAATAACTGCAAAGAAAATTCGTAAGACAGTCTGGTAAGATTTTGGATTGATAAAAATTATTAAAGGTTTTACTTCGGTTTAGTTTTATTTTTAAAGTAAACACCATTTCTTGATTAAGAAACCATAATAATGCAACAACAAAATCAGATGGCAGCCTGTGGCTGAAGGCTGGCTGTGTAAATGCTGTGTTAAAGCATTTTTTAATCACTGGTTTTATATTTATTTTCTTTTAGGATTCTCCAGGTGCTTTTACATCAAATTTTGTTTACTTTAGAGTTGGTAGTTTATCCTGGGTTGTTGTTGTTTTTGTTGCACTGTCTTCATTCAGCCAAAGTCTGTCTGTTTAAAGGCAAGGTCTGTAAAGTTGAAGTAAGACTTCTTTTCCATAAATTCCCTTTAGTTAAAAACTCTGGGAACATGAGTGCTTGCATCCTCCTGTTGATAAAAGCAGAGGAATTTCTGTCTTGGCTAAATTGCAGTGTATTGTTAAGCCATGTATTATTGTAAATATGCAACTTCCCACTACTGGGAATTCTGACTCACCAAATTCTCTGAGCTTCAGCGATGAAGACAATGCATCAAGGAGACAAGGACTGTCTTGGCTGTGAAAATGTTTATTAAATCTCTCCGTTACATTATGGCACTGGAGGAAGGAAGACTGGAAATTGGTCCATGTGGTCACAAGTTTCCAGGAATGGGCAGCAATTTTAGTAGCTTCCATTGCTCATATTTTCTTTTCCAATGCAATATTTTATTTACCTGTATTTATAGCCACAGGCAAGAGCTACTTCTTTCCTTGCCAACCTGCAAGTTTTATCCCTGAAAAATAAACCAATGAGGTTTTAAAATTGGGAGACGTCCTGGAAATGTAGGAGTGAATTCCTCAGCAGCCCTTGTGGGCACAGCAGCTCTGGGTGTGCAGTGTTGGATGGCCACACATGGCTGGGGGCTTCTGCTGCACCTCAGGCATGAGAAACACCATTCCTGGCTACACTGTACAACTGAAATTATTGGGAGACTTGGGGCAGGAAGGAATGACCAGCGTTTTATAGGAGGCCCTGAGGCTGTAAGCATCAGCTCCTGTCAGTGTGAACACCCTGGGGAATTTTCTTTCTGCCGTTCCCTTGCAATCCATCTTTGACCCTTGGGTTGCCCTTTTTGCTCTTTGAATTTTGCACTTCACGTGGCAGACACATCCCCCTGTTCTGAGTGTAGCAGCCTTTGTTTGGTCCTGAGACTGCATCTTAGTGGGCACATGGGTCAGCACGACTGCCCTGGGAACAGACTGGTGAGTAAACTGATACTTCACCCTGGGATCCGGCTCCTCCCGTCGGTGCCTCCAAGAAATGCTGTTTCCTTTGTTGTTTTTCTTTTTTCTGCACGATCAGCTCAGACAGAATATTTCCTTCTCTCTCACAGCAGTGCTGGAAAATCAGGGAGGATGTGACCATAGATCAGTCATTCTGTGGAAGAAGTGCAACACCATTCCTCTGTTGCCTTGCAAAACAATCACTCTTATCTGCTTAATTATCTGGGATGTCTCATAGCAGTGCCCACGGCTATTTCAGGCACTAAGTTGTTTTCCATGTAAACCATGTTTTCCCTGCTGTACCTCCCAAGTGTCAACTCAGAAGCCCTTTACACCCTCGAGTTCGTTTAAGCAGTTTGCTCAAGCAGAACAGTGTCCCAGCAATGAAAATAGGGGGGAAATGAAGAAGGCAATGGGTCATGGCTAAAGGGTGATGGTGGGAAAGATTAACCTGTCAGTGGGGAGCTGTGAGAAGAATGGGGTTATGGCTGGACTGGGAGTTTCCAGCATCAGTGAGATCTCTGACAGCATGTATGTCACATCAGTTACAATTCAAAATTGATGGAGTGTAAAGTTGCCAGGGAGATTTAATAAAGGGAAGAAGTAATGTGAATGAATAGATAAAAACCAGTAACCTTAATGTTTCCTCAGTCCTTGCTCTTTCATTTCTGCTGAGACTTCTTTGTTTTTTCCTCTTTCTATATGTTTGCTTTTCTCTCTGGGGAAAAAGAAATTATCATCAAGCTCCCTGTGGTGGTTTCCTAAGGCAAAGCACAGACACCCGTCTTAGTGCCTAGCTTGCATTTGCCAAACTTGCACCCCCAGTTTGCCTTTTCCTCACCACTCTGCTCTGCTCTCTGACTGCTGTGCCCTGTCTGAATTCAGTGCTGAGCTGCTACAAAGGCCAGAGACCTGCACTCAAAACCCCCCGTGGTGCTGAGCTGCTTTGTTCTGTTGTGTTTTGGGCAGGACACAGAGAGGTGTTGGCTTAATTAATTAGTGAATTTGGGGCTGCACCTTGCCACCACAAATACCAGGGAACAGGCTACAAGAGAGGAAGCAGCAAACAGACAAACTGGTTGGTTTGTATTTTCCTGTGCAGCACGAGCTCTTAGTGGGGACTGTGCAAACAAGCCCCTGCAGTACAGTCTGTGAAGGGTTTAGTAAGTCTGCCCTATTTGCACAGGGCAGGGAAACAATACAATGGTTCTGTTTCAGTGGAGATGGCACGGGTGCTTTTGTCATTCAAACCAAGCCACTGTTTGAAGGATTTGTGTAGAGGGGCAGTGAATGTCACTGTCAGATGCAGAGGCAGACATTGCACAGGGCCTGCCCTGCCTGAGCTGGCACAACTCGCTGGGAGCTGCCTCCCTTTGCCATGCTGGCTGGGGATTGCATTCTTCTACTCCATGTTCTTTCTTCCAGGTCAGTGATTTCCTAATCAGGCCAGAAGACAGCATGACCCCATTTGTCACAGGCTCTCTGTGCTGGAGCATCTCTCTTGCTAGCTCTTTGTGCTCAGTGTGCTCTGTACCTCCTGCTCCAGCTGCTCTGTTGCTCTTGCTGGCCCCAGAAGGTCAGTCATCTGTTGGGTCCAGGACTGAAGCTCAAAGTCTCAATGATGCTCTTGGTTTCCTGTTGACTGTTTCCTACTGTGACTTATCAGACTGTTAGACCTGATCTTCCTGTCTCGCTCAGTGTTGCTGAGACCTTATTCAAGCTTTGCTCTTTTAATAGCTTCCATCATTTTGTTTTGTTATTTAAAAAGCACTGGCGGGGGGGGGGGTTTTTTTTTTTTTCTTAATTGCTGTTATTGCCAGTGATTTATGCAGGGTTGGCTCGGGTCAGCCAGCCCTGGTGCCTGTTCTCCCTGGCTCCATTCAGTACCAGCTGTTCTCCAGCAGGGATCAAACAGCAGGTGGGGAGGGCAGGAGTCCTGGCAGCCCCACAGCAAAGTTCAGGGAGAGGGGAGCAAGAGGCAGCAGCAGGGACACTCAGGTATGTCCACAGGCCTTGCTCAGCTCCAGCAGTTACCCAGCAGGGTGAAGTCTCTGTGAGCTCTCAGCTCCAGCACTCTGCTTCTGCTTGTCCTTTGCAGCCATGTGAAAGTCACTCTTGAGACAGAGCAGGCTGGTGTTTGGCTCGTATTTTTTAACAGCTATTTACTTGCTTTCACTTTGTGCAGTGGCAGGAGTTCCCTGGTCAGTACTCAGACATAACCAGTAATACCTGTTAGCTTAAATAAACTGTAACTGGATTCTGCTGGACTCTTCCTTTAATGGTTTTGGCAAATATTCAAAATCCTCCTTCTTCTTCAGTCTTAAGCAGTCTGTCCCTGCTATAAATAATACACTTTCGGTGACTCCCTTCTAAAAACATATGGAAAACTGCTTCCAAGCAGGAGGATTGGCTGTGACTGTGTCCATCAGTGGGGCTGTTTTGGCGACTTAACCAGATAACTTTTAGGCAGATGGAGATGAAGCTTTCAGGAATACTGAGCACGGTTGTCCTCCGTAGGAAACCAGTCACTTCAGAAATGGTTTCCTCTTGATTCTGGGAAAGAATGCAGTTGTTGAAAGAAACCAAACTTCCAGCACGGAAGTTGAAGGAGGAACAGCCCAGACTCTGGCCAGCTCGTGGGGACCTTGGCCAGGCACACAGGCGGGGGCGGATCTGTTCCGCCGGAGTTAAAAGCGAACCCCCCTGGCAGGAGCTGCAGTTTGGGTTCGCTGAGCCACTGGAGCCAAGCACTGCTGCCCATTGGCCTCCTGGACCTCTGTGCAGTCCCAGAATGTGGGAGCTACTGGTTACTGACTATTCCTTACAAGGGGTCTTCAGGAATTTCTGGCGGAGTTGCACCTACAGGAGCCGGTCCAATTCCACAGGGAAGCACGTGTGTGCGGGCAGCGTCCCGCTGTGGGCTCACGTCCGTGACAGAGTGCGCAGGCACAAGGTTGGCCTCACTTGCTTGTTCTGTTGCTGCTTGGTGTCTCTGCAGCATGAAGCTTTCCTCTCTGCTGGTTGTCTTTCTTTGGGGAAGGGCATGGGGGCACTTGTCTCTGTAGCTGTCAGTAGCACTGGGCGGCTCTGCCGATGTTCTGAAAGGCTGTGACCATGATTGTCTCAGATCTCCCAGAATTTCCCGCAGCTGCTGTTGTTTAAGCATTTCTCTCACCTGCCAGAGCACTCTGTCTCTGCACAGGGCTCTGTGAGAGGGGGGAGCTGTGCTGCAAAGTACCTCTGGTTGCTGAGGGTGTGTTTGCTGACAGCAGTAAACTCAAGACAGAGGCTACTGCAGTTGCCTCTCCTGGTCTTACTGTGCCTCAGTGTTCCAGAGCCAAGTGCTACAAAGCCATCTCAGGAGGCACCAAATTCCCGCTTTGGCTGGTTCTGATTGCTGATCCAGTCCCAGTGCAGGCAGCTGTTTCCTCTCTCTTTCCAGTCTCCCTGGAGCTGGGTTTGGATGTGCTTGGGCTCTCCCAGCCAGTGTTGGAATTGCTGGGTGATGTTTGAGCACTCGAGTCAGCCGCTCCCCAGCCTCACAACTGTCCACTCGAGATCAAGCAAAGCTGAAAATGGGAGATTGGAACTTGGTTCTGTTTAATGAATTCTTCCAGCAGCAGGGTCAGGTGTTCTTCCTGCCTCCATTCTCAGATAGAAATGAAAAGGCAGGCAGGTTGAAGGAGAACAACTTTCCATGATTTCTGGGCCGATTTTCTCCATTTCTCCTCTGTTGGATCCTGACAGAAGTTTGGTTTGTTTAAAGTTACTTGCCTGTGTATGGATCACTTTGTATTTCTCTTCCTTGATCTCACTCTTAAGGTCATTATGTCTTTTGAATTCAGTCCTTGGAAGCTGTTGGTTCTATAGCCAAGAGCTATGAAGTTCTCCAGCCTGGTTTTTTATTTCAGTGCAGTAATTTCACACTCACCCAACCTCACCTGTATGTAGAAAACTGCAGTGGGAGACAGTTTCTCTGTTTCAAATCAGAGTTATTTCAGAAATCTCTCCTCCCTTTCTCTGGCTCCTGGCCCTGTGGGATGGGACAATTTTGGCTGTCCATGTGCCTCTGTGTGTGCCACAACCATGAATGCAGTATCTCATTCTGTGAAAACTCAGGTTGTTGCCATTCAAACATTGACTGTGCTCACTGAGGTTGCCTTTGTTGTTGAGCAGACACTGCACACATGTTGCTGGATTTTTCCATGTATGTGAGTCCTCCTCAGCCCTGCTTAGAGAACTGCACAATATCTGAGCATCCTGTTACCTGAAACTGGGAAAACCTTGGAGTGTGTGTTTTCCTGTGGACAAGAAATAACATGTTAAAAGTGATGGTGCCCTGCTCACTTGCAGAAGCCTTCCAGGCCAGTTGGTTTCTCTGAAGTCTGTTCCCAGCTCATGGGTAACTTCTGTTTTTCAGCTGGACCCACAGGCACTGCAGGACAAAGACTGGCAGCGCACGGTCATCTCCATGAATGGGGTGAGTGCAGCAAACAGAAATTAGCTCTGCTTCTGTGCCTCCCATGGGCTTTATTTCTTTGCTCTTCATTGCAGCATGGGGAAAATAAAATAAAATGTTTAAAAAGTGCCATCTGATCTGTGTTGTTCAGGTCGAGGTGAAGCTGTCGGTGAAGTTCACCAGCCGGGAGTTCAGCCTCAAAAGGATGCCGTCCCGCAAACAGACCGGCGTGTTTGGGGTCAAGATTGCCATTGTCACCAAGTGAGCTCGGGGGTCACATTTCTCCCCGTTGTTTTGCAGAAAGGCAACTGGCCAGTGGGGTGCACCTGCCTGTGCCCCCCGAGGGGTGTGGCAGTCCAGCCTCCTCCACTCATGTAGTGGGCAGATGTGGCTGCAGACAGGAGATGCTCTGTGTGCTCCCAGCTTCATTTTTTGCAGGGGAAAAAAGCGGTGTGCACAAAGGCTGTGGGACCCAGGGTGTTTACTGACAGCTTCTCTGAATTCCGGAAATCCCTCTTGCCCTTGCCTTCTCTGTAGTTAGCTGACATGGTCACAAATTTCCAGAGCCACTGAACACTGATGTTTCCTTTCCATAATCAAAAATGTTCAAGGTCTTTGGATCCTGTTGTATTATTTTAACCCCTGATCTTTTGTCGTGAATCATTTGCCAGCAGAAACCTGTTTGTTCTGTTACAAGGTTTGGGAAGTGTTGTATTTCCTCTCTGTGGAATTGTATTAATTTGAAGGCAACAGAGTTGCTATGTATCGAAGGAATGTTTGGGAATCCTCTGATTACCTGGACAGAGTCATAGGCTCTAGGGGCACTGGGACCTGGCCAGAAGCTCAAGTGCTCAGGGAAGCCAGGCTGAGACAGTCAGAAAACCCTCTCCAGTTTTAAAGGAGTTTTTCAGCTCAGTCCTGGTTGCCTGCTCAGACTTCCTCCCACCTCATTTTCCAGAAGAGGTTTGCACAGTGAAATGCTGGGGTGGTTTTAGCCAGCCTGGCTGGCTGGGGGAACAGGCACTGAGGGCCTGGGCTGTGCTGAACTCGTCTCTCTGGCTTTTTGAAGGCGAGAGAGGTCGAAGGTGCCTTACATAGTGCGGCAGTGCGTGGAGGAGATCGAGCGGCGCGGGATGGAGGAGGTGGGAATCTACCGAGTCTCTGGGGTTGCAACGGACATCCAGGCTCTGAAAGCTGCCTTTGATGTCAGTAAGTATTTGTGCCTGATGTTCTCCTTTGCTCTGCAAGAACCTGCCTGAGCTCCCTGTCAGGTGGCTCTGCTATTTTTAATCTTATGTTCCCCAAGAAGCGTTAAGAGGTAGAGATTCTCACACAAGGAGAATCATTTTAACCCTGGCTGCATATTTTATTAATATTCTTCAGCTACTGATATAACTTCAGACACACAACAGGATGGATCCTTGTTCCAAACCATGCTTTTGTTATTCTTCCCAGCAGACATGAAATGGTGGGTTTACCTGCCTTGCCAAATCTTTGGAAATGACAGACACCTTTCTCAGGGGAAACGTCAGCAATCGGGAGTCATAACTTCCTCACTGTCGTGAGGTCTCCAAATTAATAGAAGTCCTTAAAATTAAGAATGTTTTGTGAAAGAAAGCCAGCAAAAAAGATATTCTAAGGTTGACTATGAGGAGTGTTTATGACACTGGGGTTAGATGGTCAGGGCTCCTGAGTTCTCTTCTTAACTCTGTCTAGACTGATGTGCACAGGCTGTAAAATTACATAATTTGATATTTGCAAAGCTTTCTTTGATCTTGAGCAGAAAAGGGCTCCTTATAGATGCTGCATTTAAAACAACAGTCTGTGTGTCCCAAAAGGCACCCAAGATCAGGCAGGTGAAACGCCTCTGAATTGCTGAGGTACAAAAAAGGGAAATTCTGCCTTACTTCCAGCCTCCACATGATGGTCCAAGAACTGCTCAAGCCACACTCCAGCTCCCTTTTTAGGCAAGCAGTCATGAGGCCTGTGCCAGTTGCCCAAATTCACCCTCCCTGCACTTTTCCTTCACTTCTTTAGTGAAATATTTTCCTTCTTGGATTTTGTTTTCAATCCCCCTAAGCTACCAAAACCTCTGCTGAATCTCCACTGGTGCAATAAGGGTCTTTCACAGATAGAAAACCAACTTTTTTCATTTTTGTTAAATGCTGTTTTACGCTAAATTCCATTAAACCAGTGTTGGCTCTGCTTGTTGGTGTTTGTTTTAGGGAAAGGGGGTGGTTTTATTGTTCCTAATAGTAACGAAAGTGAAATGTGAGCCCTGAATTGCTTTAGCTACACTCAGTGGGGAGTTAGAGACCTCAGAGTCTGTTATTCCAGGCTGTTAGAAGCAGGGAATTGGAATAACAACCGTTGTCACTAACAAAAGTCGAAATGCATATAAATACAGTCAAGCAGGGCTTGTTCAGACCAGGCACAGCACAGCAACCTGGGAGCGTGAGGTTCTCTTGACTTGATGTAAAGCCATTTGCAGTCATTTGTGCAGCACTTCTCAGTTGTCAGAAGGTTGCTCATTTAATCTGGGGAAATGTAAACAGGAAAACTCTCAGTTATTTGGGCAAAGACAAAGGATAAACAGACCCAAAGCGAAGAAAGGAAGGAATGCAAGGCCAGCAGCTCCTTTACCCTGCCCCTGCTCTGCCCTCTTTCAGACAACAAGGACGTGTCGGTGATGATGAGCGAGATGGACGTCAACGCCATCGCGGGCACCCTCAAGCTGTACTTCCGCGAGCTGCCCGAGCCCCTGTTCACGGACGAGCTGTACCCCAACTTCGCTGAGGGCATTGGTGGGTAGCAGCAGAGGGAACCCTTGAGTATGGAAACTCTTCAGGAGGAGGCTGCTCCTGAAGCAACACAATTGGTAGTGTTGGACAGAAGCCTGAGCAAGCTGTGAGGGTTGTGGAACAGAGCTCAGAATGGAGCGTTGGAATGACAGCGCCTTCCCACGTGGCGGAGTATGGGCACCTGCCACACTGGAGTGCAGGCTGGAAAAGCCCAGGTTTCTGAAGGATGGGTTCAGAACAGGATGCCAGCCTGTCTGCTGGGGCTGTGCAGGCTGACTGCCCAGTCAGGCTTCCAGGGAAGCCCCCTTTGGAGGGGAGGGGGGTGTACTCCATCTTACCTTGATGCAGGGGAAAGACACCAATGATTGAAAGTCTGAAAGCACTTGAACTGCTTGAGAGAAAAATAGTCTCTATGCATTTCTGAAATAAAGGAAAGAGATGCTGTGGGATATTGATGTGCAACTCTGACCTTCCTTCCAGCCTATAATGTAACCACAGTCCATCCAGGCCCATCCCTATGGGCTGCTCTGGGAGGTGGCACAGTTGGTCAGATCCTCACTCACTGCCTGGGGGGATGTTTTGTTCTCTGTCTTGCAGCACTTTCAGATCCTGTTGCAAAGGAGAGCTGTATGCTGAATTTGTTGCTGTCGCTTCCAGAACCCAACCTTGTGACATTCCTTTTCCTTTTGGACCATTTAAAAAGGTAATATGTGGTTCCTTGAGACTTACATTTAATGTGTAAAGCATTGTTATTTTGAAAAGAAGAGCCTTTTCCTTAAATTTGTGCTGAATCACACAAATGAAGCATTTGCTGATCTGCTGTGAATGCTTATCAGATAACTATTGTCTCATACTCACTTAGTGAGGCAGTTAATCCTGAATTCCATTCCCACTCATACTGAAAAAGGATTAGAACTGGAGGAAACGGGTAACAAAAGAGTCAGGGCTTATCTAGTGCAAATGCAAATTCCTGCTGCAATGTCTCTGCAAAACTGCACCTGCATCTGGATCCAAAGGTCTGGAAAGATTTTTGCATAAGTTATGAAGCTTTGGCCATGTTTAAGGTCTGGTGAGCCCTGTCTCAAAAGGTGTCTGAAATCCAATATAATCTGTTTTTAAAATAGATAGCACTTTGCCTAAATGCTCTTGTCAGTTCCTTGTTCAGTCAAGTCTTTCTGATCTTGTCTATGTAATAATGGTTTCAATTGTGAAAAAGTATTTCCATGCATTTGATATTAATCAATAAGCTGGCTTAATACCAGCCCAGTGTGTTGATTTGCATATGTGTGTTGAACACACCAGAGACTGTTCCTGGAGACACGAAAGATCATCTTATGACTGAGGTTCTGGATTAAAATCCAGGAAATCTGGGGTTTACTTGTGTTTCTACTGAAGACTTTTCTCTTGGGCAAATTTTTTAACCTTTGTGCCTCAGTTTCTCATTTGTAAAACTCAGATATTTATGAAGATCTGCCTTGTGCATTGTTTCTTCTCCCAGAGTTGCTGAGAGGGAAGGCGTGAACAAGATGTCCCTGCATAATCTTGCCACTGTCTTTGGACCAACACTGCTCAGACCTTCGGAGAAGGACAGTAAAATCCCTGCTAACCCAACCCAGCCCATCACAATGACTGACAGCTGGTCACTAGAAGTCATGTCCCAGGTAAGATCCTGAATATACCATTGCATCTTGTGAAGACACTTCCTGGGAAAGGCCTGGCTCAGCCACCCCGCTGTGTTTTCATGGCAGTTTCTTTGAGAAACATAAAACAACTTGTGCCCTTACAGTGACATTTTAAGCTGTTTGTAGAACTGTGTTTCTTCAGGCAGTTCAGTTTGCATCTGTACAGATACAGCTTTTCATGAAGGAATGTCTGTTTGTGCAAGGGAAGAGTTTTTGGGAAGCTGTCTCCCAGCACCATCCTGGTGCCCTGGGATAAAAGGACCAAAAATGTTTCTGCAACGCTGCTCAACACTTAAACCAACACAATCCTCTGCTAAATTCACATTTCTTTGGCCACTGCTGCCTGTGAAGGTGATGCAGAGGGTTGGAACACAGAGCCTGTGTTACTGGGTCAGGCTGGTTTGTATGTTCTCCATTGAATAATGGTGAATTCTAGATGCAGTTTTTTCAGTGCACTGAAACACCAGCGCCATTGTTTCATCCTGGAAGCTGAAAAGGGTGTCTCTGAAGCACTGCAAGTTTTGCTGTTTCTGCTGGCGTTACACAGTGGATTAAAACAAATACACAAGTGCTATGTGCTCCCATGGAGAGAGCTGTAGGCGTGTCTGCCCGCTGTCAAAGAGCTGGGATGAGAATGAGTTACCAGGGCTTTATTGCCTTGTTCTTTCTCTTTCCAGGTTCAAGTTCTTCTGTACTTCCTGCAGCTAGAGACCATCCCTACCCCGGACAGCAAGAGGCAAAGCATTCTCTTTTCCACAGAGGTGTAGGTGCCCACGGTACCAACAGGACACAAAAAACTGCTCTTGGCATAACTCTGCCACCCCTGAGAAAAAGCTGACTGGTGTTTCCTCAGACGTGACTGGCCTGTTCCTGTGCTGGGGAATTCCAGCCCTCAGTGCTTCTGTTGTTTGTGAACCAGAGACAAGCTGGAGAAAAAAGGAGAAAACCCTCTCCTCGTGCTGGTAGGACCAGAACTAAGTGGAGATGGAGCTGCGTGGAATCTCCACTAGAAGGAGCAATAGACACTTGAACAAATGCACCACAGAGTGTGGCCATTATTCTTGTTGGGAATGGGACAGAAGGTATTCCTCATTTTATGGATTTAATTTATCATAAAGAAACTTCAAGATTTCTACTGGACCACTTGATAGGACACCCCTTTTTGGGTGAGGGGGTGTTAAAGGATATATCACAACTGTGTCTTTAATAACTGCTGATTTTCAAGTACTGTTCTAGGCCACAAAAATAGCATAGCTTTGCAAGAGGAAGGAGAAGGGAAGGGTCTGGGATCTAAGATTCCCTCCTCAGAAATTCAAGTCTTGATTCAAATGGGGTTCTAAAGAAATCCAACAGTTTTATGTGCAACTAGAACTGTTGGTCCGTTTGGAGGCTGGGACCTTTTGTGTTTGGGGGTTTTTTTTGTCTCACCAGCCCTTCAGGTGCAGATGTTTATACACCCCGGGGAAGGAGATGCTCTGCTCTTGCCTGTGTTGCACTTCTGATGGTTTTTTTGGGTTAAGGGAGACACATCCAATGAAGTTACACTATAAATAAATACAGCAAATTAAAGAAAGGCAGGGAGGATAAGAGTCAGTGATTCTGTTGGTTTTTTTGCATATAAGCAGAGGCAACATTATCCAGGAAGGATTGCTAAATTCCTTAGACCCGACCAAACTCAATGAAAATTAATTGGGAAGACACTTAATTCCCAACACTCCAAAGAAAATATGTTATCACTGCAAAAATAATTGAAGAATTTGTGAACAAAAAAAAAATTAATGGCTGTCAGTTTGGCTGGCTGCTTACTCCAGACTTTTATCAGAACATCTTTTTTTGATACTTGAATTTTTGGAGGCTTTGTACGTTGCTTCTACAAGAGTCTTTTTCTGATAGATACAAACACTCTGGTAAAAAATGTGTCAGAATGTACTTTATGGACAATCTAGCAAGTAGCATGCATTGTGGATTCTCCAGAAATTCCAACCCTGTTTTAAATAAGAGCAGTGGAGAAATTTCTGTGGAACTCCATCCAGCAGTACAAAAGGTCTGGCCAAACACCAATTTTGTGTTTCCCTCCCTAAATCAGTTGAAGCCACAGGGGTTCCAGAGGCAGAAAGGGCAGCAGTATTTGTCCAGGGAATTGAAACTGCAGAATCTGATTGCTGGTGTCCAGAGCTGAGCATTCTGGCTATGAAGCAGTTGTGCCAAACATCCCGAGGGGGGGAGCGATGCCGGTTCCCTAAACCACTCCAGCCCCCACTTCCTACCCAGCTCTGCAGCATCCATTTAGTGGCATCTGTCCATCACTGTCCTGGCAAGAAGAAAAGTACAGCTGGAAGACAAGGGAAGGAATGGGCAGGAGAAGGGGAGGGAGGGACAGATTTTGAAAGATTGGTAGGGTCAGGTTGTCAACATCATTCGTGGGGAAATGCGACACAGAAAGCAACCCCTCTTGTGCGGAATTGCACATTTTCTGATGGGTGATCTGCAATCTCTCAGTTAAAAAAAAATAGCAAAGGAGTGTTACAAACAAATAGAAAGAAAAAAATTAAAAGGGAACTGATTTTGTAGTCACTGTAATTCTGACTGCTGCATAATATTAGAAATTATTGTACTGTGAAGTTGCAAAATCAAAAAGGAACAAATATAAATTTCGATTTTGTGAGTATATCAATATTTTGCATGCTTTGTAAGGATTCTTATAGGAATTTAATATTGCTTAGTATCCCTCCCTCCTTAGGTCTGGGAGCAAACCTCTTTGTAATGTAATGTACAACTAGAAATTCCTTCTCTCTTGTATGTATTTCCACAACATTCCAACTTCTGAACCCGCAAAACAGAAAATGTGTCTGTAGTAGGAGGTGCTTTTTGGGAGAGGGAGGGAATGAAGGCAAGGAAACTTGAAGGCTTAAGATTTTGACTTTTTTTAAAATTTTTATTTTCGGTTTTTGCCTGTTTGAAGGTAAAAATTAGTCACAATCCTGACGAACATTGACTTGAGCCAAGTCGTGCAGAGCAGTAAAGCACACTCTAGTTTTGGTTCTCTGTATTTGTTCTCCCTTTTCCCCGGCACAATCCCACCACAGCAATCCTTGTACCACAGGCTGCACTCCTGCCAGCTCCCACCTCGGGGGGATGGACCTGAGGCAGAAGCACTGCTGATGACTTCATGGAAAAGGGGGGAAAAAAACCCCAAGCTCCAGCTGGTGGCTGGGTGATAACCTTTTCCTTCGGTGTTTGGAATCTGTGGCTGCTCCTTGCAGTGTTGAAACTGGAAAGCAGTACCATAATGACTGTGCCAATTTACTTTTGCCCAACTTTTTTATTTTTATTTATATAGGAAGTTAATTTTAATATTAAATTACTGATCTATAGTATGTAACCACGAGAAAATGGCTTTTGCTTTGGTTACTGTGACAGGTTGTTGCTGTCAGTCTCTCATTACAATGCTCAGTTCTAATGTAACATTATCTAACATGCAGGCATGTGGATCAGGGAAAAAAAGGTAATTTAACTTAACCCGTTAATTATTTCTGTTAAGTATGAGTATGTTTTCCCCAAAGCTGGTAATTTTGGGCTGGAAAAGATAGTTCATCATATTGCTGATGATGAAATCATGGACTGATTTGAAATACGAGAATTGATTTCTTGAATTTCCTTTAATTTTGCAATTAAATTTTTTTCAAATAGTCTTATGTTTCCAGAAATTTAAGTATTTCCAAAAGGCTTTTATGTTCTTCTCCCGGGGATGTTGGTTGGGTTTTTTGGTTTGTTTCAGGGGGTTTTTTTGTGGGGCTTTTTTTTTTTTTTTACTTTATTTTTTAATAAGCCTTATCATACTTAAACAAAAAGGGAATTGCAAAACTTGGCTTTAGAGAAGGCCGCCTGATTTCTCCTCTTATATGTTCCCTTGTGAGTTGTGTCAGAAAACCAAACTCTTTCATTTTCTGTATGAAAAAAGGTACAATATAAACAACTTAAGAGCAAACTAGCAAAAAGTTACCCTTTAGGTGTGCACTGGGAGTTTATGCTCCTTCATTTTCTAGTGTGTTGGAGAGACCTTTCTGCAAATGTCGCTTTCAGGAACAGGAATCTCAAACACTAAAATTTTCAGCTAAGGAAATTCAGGTGATTAGGATAGTCTGTGTCTCTCTGAGTTTAAGGAGAGGAACAAGCATCAGCGTCCTGGCATTTAGAAACTATTTTAAAATTCTCATGGATTTTTTTTTAACACTGAGTAGGTTTTTAAATAAAATCAAAAAAAGTTAAGCAAACTAAGAGAAAAGTTTTTGGAGGCAGACAAGAAATAACAGTTCCTAGCTCAGAGTCAGCTCTGTGTCTGTGTGTGCTTTGTACGGGAGGGGAGTGTGGGAAACCAAACTGAAACACGTCCACTCAAACGCTGCTGGTGTTCCTTATTCTTGCACAATTTTAACAAGTTGAGGTAGTAGCTGAGCTCTTTCAGGCTGTATTTTAATGCTGCTGTTTTTCAGTGTATCAGCTAAGGGCAAACCCCAGCAGTGTGGTGCCTGTCCCTGCCGTGCCCACCGCCCGGAGCCAAACGGCCACTTGTGGTGTTGGCCGTGAGGTGGTGGAACCACAGAGGATGTTTATGGGAGGGGTTATGCAGGGTTTTTGCAATTTATTCGTTTTACCTGTTTAAAACTCTGTTTTATGGTTGTTCATGTTAGTTTTCTATGAGTTTATTTAAACAAATGTACTGTTTTTTAAAGCATATGTGGATCTCCAGATTAGTTTGTCACCTGTGTAACACTGGAAGGCATCACAATGTGTTCATTTACCTTAACGTGCCCTTCTGTCAAGTATGTATAAAATATAAACTGACCAATGTGGCTTTTAAAAATGTTTAAAATCTGATAGCAAAACCCCAGCTCTCTCTGATTCCTCACTGGGTAATCCATTTGTTTCAGTGCTTGGTCACCTACTGGGATAACTTTATCAGATGTGACATTCTTCTTATGGAAATTTTAGTATAAAATGGGAAATGTTGTAGGAAAAACCCTACCCTTTCTCTTTTTACTTTAATTCAAGACAACAGGGACTTGTAATAGCAGAAGACCAGTACATTCATGCTGGATTTTGGAGGGGCCCTGCTTCTATTCCTTGAAGAAGAAAAATCTTCTTCAAGGGCAATTCCCAAGTAGATACGATCAAATTAATGAAATTCTTGTAGCCACTTGCTTATGCCCTCTTAAATTTGTAATCCAGGGATGTTTTTCTTTTTAGACTAACGTTGCCATTGTACTGTTAGTGAAAAATAAACCTGGTACCTTTCCCTTCCTTTAACACAGGGCCTGTGCAACTGAGATACCGGAGCCTTGGGTTTGTATTAGCAATTCTCCATTCTGAACTCAAATGAAATGAATGTTCGTGTGTATTCTATGAATTTTGTAATTGAATGGAATTAAATACATGGATTGCCCTTAAAACCAACAGAAGCTATAAAGGAAGCACTTACAGTTAATAGATTTTTCCGTAACAGTCTTCAGGGAATAAAAGTAACACGAATGGAAAAGAGAAGCATAATTAGGAATCGCTCAGGTCACATTGTCTGGGACTAGAAAGGAGTTCTCATTTTGAGTCACAGAAGGCAGCTCATGCCCCAGATAACTGAGCAAAGGCTGTCGTGCCAGGAAACAAACACGAATATGGGAACGCCAGGAATTTAGCTACTGGAGCCTCCCAGTGCTGCAGCCCCTCTTTCTTAGGACTCAACATGTACACACAGTTCAGTGCTAAGGAAGCCAAGTTTACCATTTGCTCTTTTCCTTTGTTTTCCCCCGAGGCAACAGCAATAGGTGTGTTGCCCTAGGTGAACTGCCACCACAGAGAAGTAAGAAGCTCATAGAACCACCCAGGTGAACTATTGTTTGAGCTAAAAGTCTGTTCCTGGGCTACAAGGATAAAATGCCACAACATGCTGCAATGATGAAATGGTTGGAGCAGTAGGACCAAAGCAAATCTGAGTGTATGTGTTGCCTCAATTCTTCTCCTTCCATGACCATATCATTAGATTGCAGCCTTTCAGGTCAAGCAAATTCATAACTGCTCTTGCCAAGAATTAAAAAATTATAAAATGACTTATTTTCCCTCCAGTGTTCATTCTCTTTGTGTTACTGCCTTATAGTGACATCGCTGGAGACCACTGAAAAACATGCGGGTGAACCATGCAACAGCTTTTCACATAATTTATTTGCTGCTGCCACGTTTCACCTTACAGTAGAACAGATCCTTCCTTTTCCAAAAGAATCACTTCACATCATTCTGCACTGTAGCAACTACCACATGGGGAGATTCAGTTTGTAGCAGAGCTACAGAGCAGAGCACTGGAGATAATTAAAGTGTTTCCAGTCTTCTTGTGCAGAATGGACCAGGTACTGCTAATGCCCTGGGCTCACGTAGGCCAGTGGTGTGAGCTAAGATTCTATTATTTACAGCTGTTCGAGCATATTTGGGAATTAATATGATTACAGAGTCCCCAGGCCTAGCAGGACTGTTTGTGCTACTGCTTTGTCTTAATCACAGTCATGTTCAAATCCTCACGTCAAAAATGGTTCATCAGAGTAGAGAAAATTGTATTTTCCACTAGAGCTTTTGCTTGTGTAACTGCTGCAGCCTTTTCCCCAGTGTAGCACGTTCTGAGAACCTGAGACATTCTGCAGATGAACAGTTTCTCTGATCTGCAGAATGATTTATACCACGAGGCGTTTTATATCCCTGGGGATGTACAAAAGGCCAGGCTTGTGTACAAAACAGCTTCCTGCCTGGAAGGAGGATACAGCAGCTCCCTGGAGATGACCCCCATGATGGGTCACAGGGGGTGGAGCCCAGCAGAGAGCAGTTGGCCTTGCTGCTGCTTGGATGCTCCCCCCTCCCCTGGGGCACTTGGATAAGGCCCAGAGGGCAGTTTTGAGAGTTCCTTCTTACTGCACCTAAATGACTGATCAAGTGCCCATCTAGAGCAGCTCAAACTTCCTCCATTTTAGTCCCATTTCAGGAGAAATTTGCCAGTTTGGAATTATGCAAATAGCTGAAAGCTGATCCATAACTAACACCTATTTCATATACAGTAGGTGCTAATGTAAAAGCTGCCACAGCAAAAGGTCATTTCTCCCCAGCAGCCTCTTCTACTCCCTTCCTTCTGCTCACAGCCTCAGAGAAATCTTGTCTTGGGTTTCACAGTCACATACAAAACTTGCAGAATCCTGGATAAAACTTAGCTATGCAGGGACTGATGTTTCAAGAGTTGGGATATCAGGACTAAAAGTGATTACCAAGGTAGCAAAAAGAGGGTAATGAATCGTTGTGTTGGATAAATTGGAGAAGTATCACAATGAAACAGTGAATTAAAAAATGATCTCACAGCAGGACACTGAAACATTGTCCTTTCTGTGTCTGTCCAGCAAAAAAAAAATAAAACTCAGCCTTCTCTTGCCTATGTAAGTTGTGTAGTTTGTTCTTATCTCTAGTATTATAAGTGTTTATAATCCGTGAAGAATTCCAAGGAAAGGAGTTAAGACTATTTATTTAAATATAAATACAATTAAATTATATAATTAGTGCTAAATTATCAGGTGTAGAAGACAACTTGTTATTGTTTGGATAATTTTGGGTTTCATCAGAGCTAATACTGTTGGCATTGTTTTAAACACTACCATGTTAGGGAGTCAGTTTTTGACATTTTATACTGCTGTTGCTAGTGCTTCAGTATCTTATAGTGCTCTGTTTTGGGAAAGAAAACCTAATCCAAATAGTTTAATACTGAAAGGTGTTGAAATTGTACTGCTAAACATCTCTCAGTTTAGGCCCAAAGAGAAGAGAAAAAGGAAAGGGAAAAAAAGTGGGGGAAAATCGTCTTTCTGGATATTTTTTTTTTTTACTTTCTGAGAAAAGCGATATGAAAAAGGGATCCAAAAACTGTATTTGGGGGAAAAAAAAGTCTTAAGGCATTTGTAGCCTTTCTTTGTACACAATGTTAAATAAAATCTCCTGTATCTATGTTTGTCAGGTTCTTTTGGTCTTATTTAAATAAAAGTGGGCCTGCATTACACTGAGTGTGTGAATTGCATTCAGCTGAGTTTGCTGGAGGTAGGGAATCTAACATTGCTGTGTCCAAGTGAAAGCTGTTTCTTGTTTTACAAGGTAGAAGCTGTATCACTTAAAATCTAGAGGTTGGTGCAGGGTTATTGCTGAATTAAACTAAAACAACTATAACGTGTGGGAATAGTTTACACGTAAGGTAGAGAAGTAGCTGAGCAACCCAGTCCATGTCCAGATCTGTGTGAATCCTTTTGCAGGAGTTCTGCTTCAAAACCCAGCCCAGTCTCAGACCTTGTCAGCTTTATATTTGTGTGCAGAGAACTTGAACTGTAGTTATGTATTTGCTAAGAAATCAGATCTGGCCTCCAGTTCTTCAAACACTGCATGAAAGTAGTGGGGGTTTGTAGGAATCAGTTTGGAAAACGAATCCGTTATTTAAATCACGTTTGCTCGGTGCTTTATTTAAATATTGTTTAAATTATTCATGTAATTAGTTAAAGTACATTTATGTTTTAATATAGTCCAAATTTAATACAATATATAAACATTTCTATAATAAAAAGGTACCTTGCTCCAAAGCTCTAGCCAGTTTCATTCAGCGTGGGTCACAAAGATGACACAGCTCAACAGCAATGCTGGAAGGAGATGAAGTGCAGCTGAGTGCAGTGTTCAGAACTACACTGATTATTGTGCTTACCCCTGAACTGGGCAAAGGAGGGGAAACCCAATCACTGTTATTAATACTTTCTACCAGTGGTGAATGTGTATAATAGAAAATAGTTCTCCAATAGCTTCAATGTGGAATTCTTCAGCCAAATGGTTCTCCCTCCATCAGAAAGTGTACCCTTGTAGTGCATCCACATGGAACAGCCCCTGGGGGAGCCTGGAGGGGACCATGTCCTGTGCCAGGCACTCTGCTCATACAACCACGTTCCTACCGTGTCCAGCTCCCCTCTGACTGCCAGCCTGGTTCTTCTCAGCCACTTCTGGCTGCTTTTCCCTTCTTGAAGACCCAGGGCAAGCTACACTGCAATGGGCTTGAAGTGAACCGTGGTGTGCAGGCTTGTGCAAATCACCCAGGACACTCCTGCGGGATGCTCCGGCCCTGGAATGAGACAGAGGGAACAAAACCTGAGGCTGGAGCAGGATGAGAAAGAACATGAGTGTATAATTTGGATGTTCTGTGCAAATTGCTCCACCTGAGCAGGTGTCTTTCCCTTTTCCAGGCTGCCCTGAGGCCTGGACAGGCTGCCCTGAGGCAGGTGGTCCCCTGAGGCCCTGCGGGATGCAGCTGTCAGCGTGAGGCAGGATCAGCATCAGCGGTACCTGCCCAACTCCAGAGGCATTTGTCTGCTCTTTGTTAGCAGCCTCCAGTTTGGAGATTCCGTAATCCTCCGGGGCAATCTAATCCAGAACATAACCACAATGAGAAAGTTTTCCTAGCAGACAGCTGAATCACTCTTGCACACATTACAGCACAGAATGCTGCAATTTTACGCACTTTTTTCAGTGACCTTTTAAGTTCCAGAACTAGGATCTGAGGCATATGCACTGTCAGTTAGCAGCTTGTTCATTAATTCACCGAGCTGAACAACTGCTTCCTGCTGGAAAACAGAAAGCTGAGCCCTTTGTGGGCTACCGTGAGAAATATATTGTACAAAACAAGTGCAGGCGTTTTTCACATCCCTAATACAGAAGTAGTGCCATTGAAACGCCATTTTTTAACTGATAAACATCTTGAAAGGTGATCCAAAGGTAGAAACACAGAACAACATTTTGCTGAAAGTATCGTGGATCAGAAAATGTAGTGGAATGACATTGGTGGTAATGTAAGAAAATAAACATCAGAAATATTAATTATGAATAAAGGAACATTTTACTGTCAAACAAGTACCCTGTATCCATGCAGAAGCCTTCCAGAGGAATTCCCACCAGGTAAGAACAGGCAGAGTTGATAGAAATGGTTGGGGAAGGACATCTCAATAAAATGACTGCCTTTGTAAGACACATAAACAGGAGAATTTTCCCACAATGTAAATCAAACTATATTGTAACATCTGGCAGCATACATCCTCTCAGTTTAAAAGGAATTCTGATTAAATATAGATGTCATTTACTTTGATTTACTATATTAATAATTAAACTTGACTAAAGATAACGACGGGACTGTAAATCTTACTTGCCCTCACCAATCTGCAGACTGCGAATTCCATATTCCTGTGAATTCTATTCCTATGAATTCTAGGAAGGAACATACCTCAAGGGAGAGGCTGCAACACAATCTTACACTGAAATGTTTCTTTTGCTAAAACAGCTGAACTGCTGTTGGGAGAGAGGCTTTAACCCACAGTCTGAGCTAAACAGAGGGGAAACTTTCACAAGAATATGTCAAATCAGCACATTTTCCTCATTACTGTGTTCATAGCACTTCCCAGCCAATGCCTGTCAATACAAACTCTGCTGTACCTCCCACCACAGCGCCCACGCTGCAATTTGGGTTTATTAGCTGCAGTCGCTGGTTATTCATAGCAAGTCAAACATCCCGCACACCGATGAGCTACAAAGCTCAGCTCAGTGTGTTTCACAGGAGCTCAGGCTTTGAAAGCTTGTGTGCACACGCAGTTCTTGTAACCTAAGACAAAGCAATTCTCCACCACAATGTTCTGCTTTTCTTCCCAGGGGCTAGCACCGGGCTATGTTTTGCATCTGTGCTGAACGAAGTGATGAAAATTAACTCTACCTCACTTAAACCATGGCGTACATTTAAACATTTACTTCTTGCTTGGATGAAAAAATGCGATTACGGGCCTGGATAGTGAGGCACAGGTTTAGGAGTCACACAGTCCCCTCGCTCCCACCTGCGCTGCCTGCCCTCTGTGCGCTCAGTGCCGGAGCTTAAAATATGTGTGTTTACTCCACAAAAAGAATCCCCAAACCCACCAACCAACCACAACGAAACAAAAGGATTTTTTTTACCAGCGTGAGGCGCGGGCCCCGGGCCGGGTCCGCCGCCGTCCCCTCGCCCTCAGAAATCAAGGGAGCTGGGGAAGGGTCTGGAGCAGCAGGAGCGGCTGAGGGAGCTGGGGGGGCTCAGCCCGGAGAGGAGGAGGCTCGGGGGGACCTTCTGCTACTCCCTGACAGGAGGGGGGAGCCGGGGGGCGTCGGGCTCTGGTCCCGGGTAACAAAAGGACGGGAGGACGTAGTCTTAAGCTGTGGCAGGGGAGGTTTAGTTTTGACATCAGGAGGAATTTCTTCACAGAAAGGGCGATCAGACGTTGAACGGGCTGCCCGGGCAGGTGGTGGAGTCACCGTTCCTAGAGGTGCTTAAGGAAAGACTTGACACACTCAGTACCACAGACTGGTTGACACGGCGATATCGGGCCACTGGTCAGACCCGATGATCTCAGAGGTCATTTCCAACCTGATCGATTCTCTAATTTCGTTATTCCGCGGTTCAGGCGCGGAGCGGCCTCGCCCAGCCCCGCCCTGAGGGAGGGGCCGCCCCGCGCACGCGCCGCCCGTGGCCGCGCCCCCCCTCCCCTTTCCCCTCACGGCCGCCGGGGGGGCGGTGCCGGCGCGTGCGCGGTGCGGGCAGGGGGCGGGGCGGAGGCGGAGGCGGGCGGAGGGGTCCCAGCCGCGCGCGCGCCCCTCCGCGCCCCCCCC